ATGTTTGGGTTAGCTGGGTGAATGTGAAGGGCACCGACCGGCTGGCCACATATGGACACAATTTTACTTTTTTTGATTGGGCAGCCATTACCACATAAACATTGTAATCATCCGTTTTACAAGGTTTCCCAATCTGCAGCGGAAAAGCAGAGGTTTGAGGACATTTCCATGTATACTTCCTCTCAGCATGAATAAAATCATCTCCTGAAATGAATCCCCAAATCAACCCCATATGTAAATACTCACAAGAGAGACATTTTGGTGAGTGGATTGCTCATGCAAGGTCTGGCAGCTTTACAACGGAGCCAACCCCGACTCTAGCCAAGTGACATCTAAGAAGTCTGGCTTTTTTTTGTTTTCTTTGGCTCTCACAGGATGAGAGAGCAGCCAAGCATTTAAGATGCAAACCAAGCCCCAGAAAAGGAGGCTGTTTTCGTTAAGAGCACATGGGCTCAGGTTGCGTATCTGTTTGTGGAAGCAATACTAAGCTGGGTTGTTTATATCCATCACCGGTTGTGCAAGGGAATTTCAGCAGCAGGAAGGATATTGCTGTTATTGGCTTGAATATTATTCATGGGTTAAATATATATCCCATTCGACTGTGAGACGCTGGGAAGAGAGAATGAAAAGACGAGCTCACTGAGGTCACATGAACATGTGGTATTAATGGCAAATCTCCTCTTACATGACACGGACCACACAAGGGTTATCAGCTTGCATTTAAAAATAAGTTTACTGAGGCTCTTTTGGAATATATGTAGACCTTGATATTGACCTCAAAGCAATGTCTTCACTATTTAAAGGTGGGGTAGGTAAGTTTGAGAAACCGGCTCGAGATACTTTTGTTGTTATATTCCATGGAATGCTCTTAACATCCCGATAGCAATGAATATCTTAAGTGCTTTGACAAAAAATCCATTAAAAAATATCATCTGTGGAAGCCGTAATACTGTAAAAAGCACGACCAATCATTTTAGCCGGCCCGGCTAAAATAACTGGATGGCCTACCTGCCTGTCAGCCTTCCATCTGTGCACAAACTTATCTCGTGCCCTCATTGGTCATGTGCGCGTTCGTGTGTGTTGGAGGAGGGGCTCTGTGAGGAAGTGGCAGATTTTCTCCGGTTGTGTATTTTCAAATTCTAGCGATCTCGAGCCGGTTTCTCAAACTTACCTACCCTACCTTTAAATAAGACCACATTAAAGCATCTGACGCGGATCAGATCGTTTTTATGATATACAATAGCTAAGCATTTGTGATTGAAATCGGCATGAGTGAGACTTTAAAGAAGACCCCGTTTTTGTCCTGCTGCGGATCATATACAGGATTCATTCATGTTGATATTATGAAAACCTATGTCAAGTGAGAATGGGGCCTCAGTTTGCATTATATGGATTGTTGCATATTGGCTGTGTGTTCCTGGTATCCATGATAATGTATTGATCCAACAATTGATCATGCACAGAATTCACAACTACACATTTAATGGGAGCACCCAACAAAAGGGAGAGTGTGCGTAGTGTTTCTGTGTACGTGTCTCTTTGTTTGCTCGCATCTGCTTAGGTGAGTATGTGCCTGTGTGTGCCACTTTGTGTGTGTCTTTCCCTACAAGCAGGCTCATTATAAAACCAATTAAAGCCGCCTTACTCTCATTATAGAGCTGTGGGACTTAAGGAGAGATTGAGGACCTGTTGTACTCCCAGAGGGCTGCTGCCTGGTCAGCCCTGTTTTAAATGATAAAAACACTTTTAAATCCGCTGAAATCAAACACCACGGAACGGTCACGATGGGTCAGTATCAGTCTGAGCTCATTCCTGAACCCCTGGCCCTCAGTCAACTCCATGACCCCCCCAACTAAAAACACAAAGAGCTCAGTAGCCTCTCCAGACTGGATTGTTTTTGTTTTTGAAAACATGGTTTCATCACAAAAACGCTTGCATGCTCTGGTTTCTATCTCTGCTATTTATGAAATACAGAGTGTGGGAAACAATAATGTAAACTGGCTCCATTACTGCGTGGGATAGTGGTGCTGTAAGAGTAGGAATATGATAAGGAGGAGGAGGAGGAGGAGGTGGAGGAAGAGGAAGAGAAGAAGGCAAAAGAGGAGACAGGGCAAGAGAAAGACACCAGACAATGAGCATAGAGAAAGAAGCTTAGCTCGGAGACAAATCTGTATATGAAATAACTATTTAAAGAATGGGAATTTGCATGGTGTCGAGGTAATAACCAGCGAGAGACACAGTCGCCTCAAATGATCTAGAATCAACAGACAAAATCATGTCGCTATTGTGTTCATTACTTTGTATTTGGGAGACGTTGCTCTCTTCTCTGTACCCCACAGTATGTACCCTCCCACCCACATAACACACACACACATTTGTACATATTGTTCCCTCCCTTCTTCATCTTTGGCGGACGGATGGAGAGGCACAGCTGCCTGGAAGGTGTAGGCGTTGATTGATAGATGAAGTTTTGGTGCCCATGGGATCCAATCATGTAATCAGTTTGTATTGATTGACTGTCCCCATTGAGAGACTGCTGAGACTCTGCCACCATGTGCAGAGCCAGAGCTGGCACGCATTCAAAAATCTTTTGTAGTCAAATTTGATTGTGGTGGCAAGGTCGCCTGGGTCCACGCGTCGGGATGCGTGCAGGGAAGACGGGCGTAATCGCACTGCAGACGTATCGTAACACTTCCACCATTCTCAGCTCCAAATCCTCATTATCTTGCATTTATTTCAATTATTATGATTGAGAAATTAATTCAGCTTCACTGTAATTGCATCACATGGTTAATGATCCAATCTCCCTGGAATTTAGATAAGGCTTCAACCTGGGTTTGCATAGCTAATAAGGATGTTCCAGCTACCCTGCGTTTCTCAGACTTTTCTCTCTTATTTCACATTTCTGACTTATATTTCAAGTGTCAAGTTATCATCTCTGTATGATGCAATTCACATCATTCCGGCACCAATTGTGAAAGATTGGAGCCATGATTGCAAATAAATATATTTTTTATGAAATAACATTTAAGGACATTGCCTAGTCTTTTTGGTGAAAAAGACACAGAGCAATGGTTTACGCAATATAAATCAGACAAAAAAGGGGTTTCTTTTCAGTAGTATTACCAACATGTAGTTTATATCAGCAGTAATAGAGGGTTTTTCAGCTTACTCAGCACTTTACATCTTAACAAACACATCGTTACAAGGCTGCATCTCGACAGCTCCAACATCAGTAAGCCACTTGTTAAGACAGCTCGGCTTATTTGTTTCCTTCACTGTAACAGCACATCTTGTTTGTAGACAGAGGTGGGAGTATAGAGAATTGAAAGCCCTTCACCAGTGGGCATCTGTTTTTCCATGCTTGCATTTAATAAGCCCCAAAAGATAAGATTGCTGCCTGAAAGTCATTCTAAAGTCAAATTAAGGCTGAGCTCACTGAACACATTTCCAAACTCTACTGGGTAACGTTACCTCAGGGTAAGGATCTGATTCGCATCGGACAACTGAATGAGGAGCGGCAGATGTTTTCTGTGTCCTCTTCTCCATCTACAATGAACGTACCTTTTCTAGGTGACATAAATGAGTAATGAAGAGATTTCTCTACTGCTCACTTTTTCCATTAAGAATCTGTGAGTTACTTCAGGGCACTTCATGCTCCTGTAGAAATGAACAAGCTGTCATTTCACATAAGCAGCCTCTGGGTTTATAATCTGGTGTCCTAATTGATTTATATACAGTAGTAGAGTATTCACAACTGATTTGTCAAGATTGGATTTCAGTTCATTTGTCATGGCTGAACACAATTGTACAAGAGGAGGACATTTTGTACATGGTGACTGGAGAAATGGTTACATTTAAGTGAATATTTCAAAATGTATTCTTCACAATGTACTAAAATGCAACTAGCCACTTAAGTGAAAATAGTTATGGTTTCTTATACATTTCTGACACATTTTAAGCATGAAAACAAACAATACTCATTGAATTAGATGTGAAATTGGGCAGGCATCAAACCATGACCAGGTTCAGGTTCAGGTTATTTAATTAGTATCCGTAAGTATATTTGGTTTGCAGTTAAAAGACAAGCGATCCATTATGACACACTTTTTAAAACAACAGGCACATCTATAAAAAGAGTACCCCGTGGTCCATCAAATTTAAACACCACTAGCATTTACATGAAACAATCAAGTAAATAAATAAATAAATAAATAGGCACTTCATTTGTGCGATGGATGCTGGAACAAAGCTGTTTTTATACCGTTTTGTTCGACACCTATGGACCTATACTAACCTCAGGCTTGAAGAAAGAAGCTGGAATTCATTGTGCAGAGGGTGGGAGTCATCTGTTAACATAGAGCTGGATAACCGCGGTAAACGTCCGAGGTACAGGGTCTCCAGGTTTAGCTGTGACTCACCTATTAGTCTGCTAGACCCCTTTACGATCTGACTGAGAGAGATTCTGCCCTTTAAAGATAGGTTACCAAACCATGACACTAGAGGACTGTAAAAGACAGAATGGCCTTAACAAAAGCACATTGAAACATGACCATCATGGTTTCGTCAATGTTGAAATGGGACAGTTTTCTCAAACAACACAAACGCTGGCGCCCCTTTTTGCATACGGCTTCACAATTTGCTTTAAAGTTCAATTTTGAGTCAATAACTGTCCCGAGTTATTTGTAAGATTCCACTGTCTGATTCTTGATGGATACGACTTCATGTATGTGGGGATGTCTTCGAAAATCAATGATCATGTCTGTGGGTTGACATATGAACATGCTGTTTATCTAATTTCTTATAAAGCTGCCTTTTAAATAATATTTTCTCATCACACCATTGTTTTAAAGGGACAGTGGGAGCTTGCATACTGATGTAAAGGAAGCGTACTAGGCATACAAATTGATATACAGTGGACACTACATATAAGTACAGTAGTGTCCTGCAGTCAGACATTCACGGTGTCTTCATCTCTGTATTTCTCTGTGTCTCTACAGATCAGAGTGGACGGTCCTCTGGAGGGAGGAGTGCTGTACGAGACAGTCAGCGTGATGAAGGATAGCAGCCCCATCCTCCGGGACATGGCCTTCTCCCTTGACAGGAACTCTCTCTATGTCATGTCTGACAATCAGGTGAGGATACGCCCTCGTTTTTGCCTCTTGCTGTCAGGAGAAACGCTAAACGGCAGGGAGATGAAGCGAGGCGGTCTTCAGCTAGAAGCCCGCGAGTTCATGCCCTCGTGACAGCAAGCGCTCGCCACGCTGACACGTCCTTGAGCGAGATACTGTATTTGCAGCTTTAGCAGTTTTTTTTACTCGGTATGAAAAAGATGCAGCATGGGAATACTTTGCCATCGTGTCAATGAAACAATACATTTAATCCCCATTTTCTGAGGATTGGATTCAATCCAGTTTATCAGGACTTTGCAAAAAGTATGGTTTTTTTCTGCATAGATACTAGCATTTCAGTTATCCTTATTATCGCGTACAGCCAGGGAATTAGCAGCAAAACTGTTTTAAATAAAAAACATTAAATTATAAATTAATGCTATTTACTTGGAATCCTACCAGATGATTATGATTTATCCCCAAAATCCAATGTGGCAACTCCCAAACATTCACGAGCTGTATGTCTAGGGATTGTTAAATATGCAGTCTGTGTGTAAGGGGATGGACCACTGTTCTAATTACTTATCCATGCGAATCGCCTTACAGTGCACGCTTCTTTTGTACACCACACACACGCGCCATAGAAAAACATTAGCGGCTTTTTTCTGCGTGGCTGTATCCCCCCTCGCCTGCTCCTCAGTTGGCCCGGCATCACAGAGGCGAGCAGTTGTTGTTGTTGTTGTAGGACGATATTCTCTGCACTCATTGGAGATAAGAGTGAACAGTGGTAATCACTTTCAACTCCCATCAAGTGCTTATTTTGGCGCAGCTGCATGGCACTGTGAAATGGGATTAGGTGTCAGTCCGGCCAAAAAAAAGCCCCTATCACTGCTCTCAGTTGTCTTCTGACTGCTGGAATGTATTGAGCCAGAGTCACTGGACAGATGGGATAAGGGCATCGGGACAATTGCAGATCTGTCATTTGTTTCCGAGTAGCTCCAAAAAGCCTTTTCTGGGAACTTGAAAACCAGGCCGAAAACATATAAAAGCTTCGAGTTTGACAAAACAAGGGATGTCATGTGAAGAGCGAAAGAATAGAGACAGTATGGCGTCGGGTACTGTCTTCTAGAACAAATCAAGGCGGCTCTTCCTTCTGTGTGATAGACTGGAAGAGACAGAACATCAGTTATTGATGAGCTCTGGTCGTTCAAGGAGAGACACATGCTTCCTGCAAGGAGATAGCCGGCTACTCTCTTCACTATGCCTCCAGTGACATATAATAACCAAACACAGCTTGGCCAGGCTTTTTCTCTCAATATTAGAACAGCTTTGGCTTTATAGCCCTCAGGAGTTTGGAGCAGAGTAAAGCTTTCCTCCTTTTTGTCTCCCTCGCCATCTTTGCTCAGCTTTCCCTTCAGACTTTCCCGCAGCTAGGGGTAAGGGATCCCCCGGGGAGAGGGCTTCAATCACAGATTTCCCACATTTCTAGTAGATCCCAGAGATGAGAGATTTTCTGATTCCTGAGAGCCAAACAATACAGGAATGATGTAGAATGAGGAGCGAGGCACAGACAGATTTGGCTGAGATCAGCCGTCCCTTATGGAATAACAATGAGCCTCTCTGTCTCCTGCCGAGTGAAACACGCAGGGTTAGCATGATGATGAAGAGTGAGGAGAGGAATCAGTGTGTCTGTGTGTGTGTGTTTCTGTGTGGATATACAGTATGTGCCTGTGTCCATACCAAAATATCATTTGGGAGCCATTATTCATATGAAAAAAAACAACTTATTTTTTCTTCCTCACTGTGTGCCTTTAGGTTTGATCATTTCTAAGAATAGAAATGCTCAGTATCCAAACACACAATTGATGGCTTTAAACCTTAAAGGGGGGGAAATGCTGCAGGGTATTTTAGGGCAATCTCCCAAAGTGCCATCCCCATCCCCTTCTGTGTTTCTCTACCCCTGTCGGTATGTCCTCCCTCTCTCACCTGTATGCGAGTGTGCTATTCAATCTCTTTTAATCTGACGTACCTCCGCAGCTCTATCAGATGAGCTCATGCACCCGTTTACCAACACCATCCGTCATGTTCCCAATGTGCTCACTTGAATAGATTTAAAACTGGATGTTGTAGAACACTATTAATTAGGTTCAGTCAGGTATACATTGAATTACAGACAATGGACACAACAACCATTCATCATCCCTTTTAACTATGTATTTCAACTAAGCTACTTGCTTGCTTACTGGATATGATGAATGATGATATTCAGGTGTTTTTTGACCCGGGTGTGTGGGAAGTGTGTCCTGTGCAGTCGGCTGGTTAGATCACACTCACCTCCCGCCAGAAACGCCTCGATTGGACTCCTTTGTTTAATTACATCACTATGACTGGCGCTTCTATTGGCTATAGGCTCCAACACATTTGACCTGATAGGCTAAGGGGGGGGGGACATCTCTAAGTGGTTGACCCATCACAACAAAGCCATCCAGCTAACCAATCAGAGCAGACTGGGCTCTGGTTTCAGAAGAGGGTGAAAAGAGGTGCTGCAGCACAGGCAGTGTGAGAAAAATAAAGAGCTTTTTGAACATTTAAGCATGGAGACATGTCACAGTAAAGGAACAAAGTACAAATATGAACCTGCAAATGAGCATAATAGGGCCTCTTTAATACATTCTTCAAAACCAGCTACTAATATTTGCATTTCCCCTTTGGCAACTCCTGAAGTGCCTCTTGGGTACACATACCCAGTTGCGAATCACAGCTTAACAGACGGCTGGAGCCACACGAGGACGATAACGCAAACGGACTTCCACGCTGGATTTAGCAGCAGAGGTGGGGTTTCGACATGTCCGTTAAAGTTTAAATCTTCCGGACAAAATTAGAAAAGTGCCGATCAAAGGTATTCTTTGTTATTTATTGAGCTTTAAAACAAATGAATAACGACTCTATATAATAATATAAGAATAATACACGGAGGACGGAGCCTCTCTTTTCCCCCCCTCTCCTGACAGCCCGTCAGTATCCGTGGTCTCATGCAGCTGGCTGATCCAGTAATGAGTGACCCGACAGTGAAAATAAACATGCTTATGACTAGTTTAGGTAGTTTGAGAGGTAATTAAAATAAGGGTGATGATTTAACTTGAAGTGTGTGTTTTGTTCCGCTCATCGCTCCATCACAGCGGGCGGAGCTGCAGGTTATCATGCAGAGCTGCGTGTCTCCTCTCCTGTCCGATTAGACTTCACTCGCGTTTATGTCCATATCGATCAAATCTAGCTGGAAGCTCCTGCTGGGTGCACTGTCCTGCGAGATACCGGGACCTGGCTTGAAACACTGGGGCTATTGCGTCATCGTTATCAGGAAATGATCGTATAGGCGTAAACACGGAGCCGTTTGCTCCCCCAGAGCGTTTCGTCCGCAGATCTACCCACCTTGGGACCCGTTATCGTTTTCTGCGTTTCCATGTCGGCCTCGTGTGGCCGAACCGTCTATCTGATAGAGAACTGTAGCAGATACGACCGTTATCGTCCTCGTGTGGCAGCCTTAACTCACATGCTATGTAAAGTTACTTTCAATAAAATGGATCATAAATAATATATCGTTTCGATAATACAGTAAGTAATGCTTAATGTGTAATTATATAGTAAAGACAAATTATAAAACATTTTTTTATATGTGACATCGTTTTTAGGATTTTGTGCACTGTTAGTCAAAGCAAAAAAAACTAACAAGACACCAAAAGTATGAGGAATTACATTTAATTGGTGATATACAGTATGATACAGTTGATAAAGATGTAATATGTTGTTTGCATCACAACAAACTTTAATTCATGAGTTAATGTGATCAAGAAGTGATTATTTGATTAATTTTAGGAAATGAAAATAGAATAAAGACACAAATAAATCTAAAAGCACAACATCCTGTATATGACCAGATAACCAAATGAGATGAATGGATATAGAAGGACAGTAAGTCAAGTAGTCTAAAAGCCTGCATGCTTATCTGAAGGCATTCATAAAGTTCCAGTTAATCCGGATGAAAGCGTTACAAAGATAGCAACTGATAAGATGATAAGGTCCAGCATTAGTTTGAGGGCATCCCACATGTTGTGAACATATACATATTTGTAATTCCCAGAGCTGGAAAGATGGACGCAATAAAAGAGAAATACTACTGATGATAAATAATTCATGAGGACTATATGCATTAATTGAGGATGAAGGCTTCATTCACTTACGCACGATTGTATAAACATGGTAGTGTAACCATTATAGTCGGAAGAGAAACTCATCGTGACAGTACAGTATGAACTAAAACCAATCCTTCAATTTTGCTACAACCTTAAGTCACCATGAAATACCTCTATCAATTCCCGACTGCGCAGAACATTTGAAAGATAGATACATTCAATGTTGACTGTAATAATAATTAGCTTTCTTAAAGAAGATAAACAAGAATCTACTGCAACACTTGATATTTGAAGTTAATCAGTGATTCATTTCATCTCATTTGAAAAAACCTTTTAGCTGTTTGGACAGAATACGGTTTTGCTGGTGAAGTTTAACCTGCGATGGTCCAGGGCTTGAAGAAAATAGTGTTCTATAAAGGCTATGTGATTTTAAATGCTACCCTTGTTAAGGAGGAATTAATTCCAATCAAGTTTTGTGGTTACAGGATGTTAGTGTTTTATTAAAGTCTAGTAAGTATAGTAATTAAGACGCATATAAGAGCATAGTCCCTGCTTTGATTTTAACCGGAAACATTTGTTTCATGCTTCACTCCTCTGTCCACCCTCAATTCTACACTTTTACTGTCACTATCCAATAACAGGAAAATACCAAAATATAATCTTTAACCTATGTGAGTACTATACAATGTAAGTGATTCACATACTGAGCTGCAATGCTTTCCAGACGTTGTGGATATAAAACCTAAGGTCATGTCTTTGGGTCTTATTTGGATTCAACACAGTGCGTTCCCGCTCGGGTCGGATCCACTAAACAAATCAGCCCTGATGTGCAGCTAGAGCCTCACAGTTGATTCTCCGCCGGGCAGCAGAAAGCAGAAGATCCATAGCTCTCCTCTTTCAAAGGTCACGCTGCCTAACGGCCACAGACCGACTTTGTAAGTTTAGACGAGCTCCAGTCCACAACAATTCATGGATTACTCCCACTGCGTCAGACATGGACTTAGAACCTCAGCCCCTCCTGCGCTGCAAAATCATTTTGCTAATGGAATGCACTGAATGGGTTCTGAACTGCTGGAAAAAGAGAGAAAGTTATTTCATAGGGAGCAGCAGATAATCCATTTTGCCAACACAGACCTGAGAGAGCACCCACTTACGCTATCAGGAGCACCGGAGACACTCTAATCCATAATCCACTCTTCATTTGTGATTGCCTACATCAAGAAATTGCTTGCATCATACGTCCAGACCTTGAATAATAACAAAGTATAAAATAACCGGGCTCAGGCTGCGGCTCCAGACCTGGTTTTGTATGCAGAGGTGGTGCCTCGCGCAGCAGCTAATGGAGAGTTTATACTTTGCCAGACATTCAGGCAGCAGTCGTAAAGTGTATGGCTGTCTATCTGTCACTTTGACTATGTCTTTATGCTTGTGTGCGCGCTCGTGTGTGAAAAATAGCAGCATAAACCTATACTGGGCCCTCATAGAGTAATTGCCGTTCCAGAAATCGTCATGGTTTAGCAGTGCAAGAACGTTCTTTATCAAACGTTTAAAAGAAAAGTTAAGTAATAGGAACATTGCTGCAAAAACGCTTTTCAAAAAATTGTGGAGTCATTTCATGTTCTGTTTGACATCTGAGAATAAAAGAAAATCTGGAAATGTGTCATGTGGGCAGAACCACAATGCTGCAAGTTGCACATTTGTGTCAGCAGCAAGAAGTACAAAAATGAAAAAGAGTGAGCTGTGATTTTGCTTCCATATTTTGCACAACATGATGAAATGGGCTCTGGTCCCTCCTCATCAGAACTGCTTATTATTTCATCAGTCAGTTTTGGCTGTATGCCTTCGTTGACCTTATTTCCAGTCCATCGCAGACACTTTTTACTTTTGTCACAAAAGGAATTTAGAACTTTAATCAGCAATGGAATGACATTAACATAAAATTAGCGTTTAAAATCAGACGTGCATAGTAGTTTAAACATGGGAAGGCCAAACAAAGCAAGTGATTATGTACTTCATCTACAGGATTGTGCATTTGATTAGATGTCTTTTGGGTGAAATTCCATGTTACATACACATTAAATAGTAGGCTTGCTAGATTGTCTTCTGATTTAGATGTTTATCTGATCTCTTTTCAGAACACAACTGTGTATTTTGTATAATATTTGTCTACTTAATTCAGTTTGCTATAGCCCTAGGTGACATTTTCAAATGCTTTAATTCATTAAAACAACAGTAAAAAACAACATAGAATTCAGGTTACATCAATATAAATCAATAGCAGCAAAACCTCCCATTGAAAGAGCTGGAATCTGAAAGATTGGACAGGTTTGTTTGAAATTGACTGCAATTATTAATGAGAATAGTTGACAAATAAGACTTTTTAATTTGGTTCAGAGCTGAGCTAGAACAAAGTGGGAACTGGTGCTGGAAAGTGAGTTAAATCTACCTACTGACTACCTATGTTTAATTCAGATAGCTACATAAATGCTCGTTGCAATTCTATATTGAGATCCATTCATCAGATCTACTGTATTTATTTTTATTATAGAGATTTGTGAAAAGCCAAATTGCTTATATCCCTTAGTGCAGGGGTTCCCAACCTTTTTTCCCAAGAGCCCCCCCTAATGACTCCTGTTGGAAGTTGCGCCCCCCCCCACCCCCCATTTTTTAAAAGTTTCAAAAATGCTATAACTACTGTCACAAACTGGATGAATGTGAAGTATTTTGTTAAAAGAGGATGAAAGCGTAATTAAGGAGCACTATTGGAGTGACTTTGATGGTTATTGGACTCAGGATGAATAAGCTTTTTAGTAGCTCGCCGCTCGATTATCGATTATAGCGTAGTAAGGTTGCTTATTGATTTTTCGGCCGCGGCTGGACAATAACGTTTTTTTATTTTAGAATTGTTTCTGTCACACGAATATCAAATGGTCGGTGACGCAGAGATCGAGGAACAGACGTGACAGCAGCACAGCGACAACACACACGGAGCAGTCTGCTTTCTCCACCAGCACCAGTCCAGAACCAACAGCAGAATGACCCGCTCTGAATCAGGCCCTGTCGCTGCGCCTCAGAGACACACAGGGAGGGATTTGTGTTTTTTTTAAAACACTCGTTATCGTCATGTCAGGTTTTTGGTGGATTTAATCAAGTCTTGGATTGCAGAGTTTGAATGTCCTCTTGCTATTTTCAGTTGATAAATACTTGTGTAAAGTTTGTGAAGGCAGGAGGAAAAAAGCTTCCGCGATCACCGTCTCCTCTCCGTTCCTCCAAACCCCGCCCCCTCCCTGAAAATAATGGCTGATAGTGACCCGATAGAAAGTTTATTATTCACTTAATCACTGATTGAGATATGATGAAGCTAACTTAATCTCATACATTCATGGGATTTATGTAACAGTAAGACAGAGAATGTAAGTGTGCACCCACATGCACTATTTTTGTTTTTATAATGCTGTTGTAAATACTCCTGTTGTCTGCTGTGTTCAGACTTAAGTCATGTGTGTGATGCCACATTCAAGACATTCAGTGTCTTTTTTTTTAACAGAAGACCATAGCTAGAAGCTGCAGCTAGACTGCAGAAGTATTAGTTTTTTGTTTTTGAGGATGGAACCATTTTCACACACAGATATAGGGAGGCTAGACCTATACAATTGATTTATTATGGTTTATAATGTAATGTCAAGACGAAGAAAAAGATGGCTGAACAACTGTTCAGTGTCAATCCTGTGGAGATCTCCAAAATAATGTTCAGCTTAAGTCTCAGCAAAACTCACAACATTTCTGGAGCCTTGTAGACCCAGAAAACTATAAGAACATTCACCAAGCAGCACTGAAAATGTCTGCTTTATTTGGCTCGACATACCTTTGTGAAGCAGCTTTTTCTGACATGAATGAAATCTAAAAACAGAACAAGACTGACTGACGAACATTTAAATGACTCTATTAGAGTGAACCTAAGTGGGTACACTCCAGCATACACCTGTATGGTGGACTCCATGCAGTGCCATTCATCTCACTAACTGTACAAAAGAGTGAAATGCTGGAAAGGTGGTGATTAAGGACATTTATGTGAATTTTCAGTGATGTACTTATTATGTGGGCCATAATAATATGTGAGAAATTTTCGTTTTCTTGGACCTTGAAGTGAAGTTAAGATTTTTGATAAGCTTTAGGTATTGCAATTTCACACGTGTACAAAAGTATAGCTTAATTCAACTGATGAGGGCTATGTGAATAAATGTAAGCGATGTGATGCAAGTAGCTCTTTAGCTCTCAGATGAAGAAAGGTTGGAGAACCCTGGATTAAACTGTTTAAAACACATGCTCAAAGTAAACCGGATTTTGCCGATGTGTTTATGTGGATTCAAAAGTCGTAAATAATCTACAAAATGGAGGAGACCGATCTGATCGGAGCAACTGTGACAAATAATCTGAAACCGGCATGGACAATGAAGACTAAGTTTTAAAAATGCGCTTATCCAGAAAAGCCTGGTTTGGACACTTTACGGGCAGAAGAAATATTTCTATTAAAGAAAGAATTATACATTTCTGTCTTTTTATGCCTATAATAGCTACTAACTTGAATTTTTATTGAAATTAATTAATAAATTATTTTTTATATTTTATTGTAATGTAGAGACAAGGCTTTTAGTGACAATCACGTATTGCGTTACAATTATATGTAAAAAAAAAAATGTATGTGGTTGGAAGATGTACAATATAGTTGCCTAGTCACACCTGTTCTCTCCTCTCATCCTGTGTGTCTTGAGTAAATTATAAAGTGAAGACAAATTTGATAAGAAGATATAAAAATAGACATTATAATTTTTATATTGATTGTGCAAAAAAGTAAAGGATCATATTGGGCTTCACTTTCTGAATTGAAATCCCTTCCTGGGTGTGATGTTAACTCAATATGTCTGTTATGGAAGAATGTCCACAACTTTACAGATGCCAAATAGATAATGTTAGAAAAATAGAACTTGACACCGGCTTGAGTTTCAACAATCAGGATGTATGTACTTATTATTCTTGTAGAATGGAGGTAGTCACCATAAAGCAATGGTACAATTAGTTCCCCGAACAGTGTCCTTCACTTGCTTAAATACAAGAGAGGGTGTTTCACAGTCACAAGATGGAGGGATACTGGTTCAAAGCAGTATTCTTTGTTCAAGATAACTGAGGCCCACGTCAGAAATGATCATGCTTGTCATATGCCTATCTCAGTGTGACAATGTTTAATCATCATGTTAAACATTGTCACATAGCTATCATATGCCTATAACAGCGTGTCATGCTTATCTTCTAGGTCAAACATCTTACCATACACTGTCATACACTTGGGCCTCTGTTACCACGTGCACTTCTGTATCTTTGAAAGAGCACATTCAGTATTTTCCAAACAGCTAATATAAAACATGTTGTTCAAATGTTAAGCAAGGAAACCAGTGCCATTGTTATGCTCTCTTTATGTCTTTCCATAGCCTGGGCAATTCCCCATTTTAACCCTCCTTGTCCTCCCTCTGGTTTAGGTGGCTCAGATCCCTGTGGAGGCGTGTGAGCAGTACGGGACATGTGCTGAGTGCCTGAGCTCCGGTGACCCCCACTGTGGCTGGTGTGTCCTGTACAACATGTGAGTGTCCTTCTTTATCTTCTCCCATGCTCACAAACACAGCCCAGGGATTGAAACCACAACATTAATGATTACCATACAGCTCGTGGAAAGCTATAAAAAAGGCTAGGCCTGTTGGCATGAGATTTGTGTGGTTTAATACAACAGAGATCCCTGGGGTTCACCGCTATCAACATCTGGCGGGACAAACTGAGAACCAGGAAGCGGTTGTTGGACAGAGTGATCCCTCATAAATAACGCCATTCACGACAGCAAAAAACTGCATGCCAACCAGATTTGATTGTCTGTCAGGCAGGAGTGTTAATGGCTAAGGAGGGATTAGCCTATAAATCACAGCGGGTATAAAAACTGCACCTCTACACACCCGGGGAATATTTTGGACCTCACGGAGCAGGCTTATCCTTTCCATCTTAATTATCTGACCCCCAGGTTAGCTTGCATAAAACCTCAATATGGAGCAAAGAGAATTCGGAGATTAAAACGCTGTGTTTCTGAAAAAGCGGCCGCATTTGAAGCTGACCTCAGCCAGGGATTTACCCGTCTCATCATATGACGTCTACATTTCAACGAGCCCTATCTTGATGATGATCAGCGTTATTTAAATTGCAGCTCTCAGTGTTATCAAATCTGCAGCAAAGTGAGAGAAAGAAAAGAAAATGTTTTGTCTTAATCCAAATTACCTCATTAAACAGTTGTTTTTTCCTTTTTTCCCAGAGTGCTGACTTTGTCTGCAAGTCCCATTACACTGTTTATTTAAATGAATGCCTCACACTTATCAGTGAATAGATAGGCTGCTGTTTCCTCAAGTAACCCGCAGTGAGTCATGATCCCTCACATTGCAGAATGAGGCTACTTTATTTTTCTGTCTACTAAATCCTGATTGGGGTCTTTTTCTAGCCTCTGAATGACTCTCAGTGTGTCATGTAGACCTCTTTCAGGATCTCACTTTCCCACCCGATGCGGTGCACCAAAGCACCTATCCTACAAAGTGTGGGGGTGGGGGGGGTGGGCGTTGCTGAACATGCACAAAGCCTCATGGCAAAGGGAACAAATGGCTCCATCAGACAAAACGCTGTGAATAAAAGAGGCAAATAAAAGGCAATGAAAGATAGACTGAGATAAAAGGTGCACTTTTTTTCCAGGCACTTCAGTTGATGAGCGGTCAGGAGGTGACTGTCTTTACTCCTGTGGCTCCGGTCCGCCTCAAGGAGCGGAGCCAGGAACAGCTGTCACCGCGTTTCCATTCCGCCGTTTTATTGTGTTGTAATTACAGCAGAGGCCTCCGTGCTCTTTGAGCTCTCTCAGGAGGTGCCACCCCCTCAGCAGCAGCTGAGAGTGTATTAAGTACTATCAACCCTCGCTGTGCACATTACGCATTTAAAAGAAAGAAATTATGGTGTGCCGCCAAATACTCTCTGAGTTTGCCACTGCGATTTAACTCTGCAGCTAGGAGACTCTTGTTCTTTTATTACTTTCTGAGCCTGCAGAGACCTAACTCATTCAAATAAATCTGTATCAAAACAACCGCATTCAAAACTATCTCAACAACAAACCCCCATTTCAGGAACTGGATACATTTGTAAAAGTATTAAAAATCCCTTCCCCTTGGCATAACTTTAAATCTATCTTTGTACTCTTCTCTTACATGATTATTCTAGGGTCGCACTTTGGTGCCGACCCTTTCAATTCTTACTTTTAATTGCCTGTTGGAGCTGAAGCTTATTCTACTGTTGCAACCAGTGTAATGTGCTCTGCAGAAAAGGGAACGATTTGAAAATGCATCTGACTAAAAGCCATGCAAAGAAGATAACCAACAAACACAAATCTAAACATGCATAAAACAACAAAACTATTAAAACAAACATTAAACAGCTTTACAATTATTTTAAACCTATACCTGGGATTTGTCCATATTTTATAATGTGATGCAACTCAATGTTTGACTTTTGGTGCTAGATGAAAAGTCACCAAGAGGATGAATCTCCAGATGTAATGACATTCAATGCAATAGTTGATCAGACATTTTACTAATATTTTGGGGGCAGTAGCTCAGTCTGTAGGGCTTGGAAACCAAACCGCAGTTGGAGTCCCGATCGGACCAAAATACGGAGCGTTGACTCGTAGATGTCTGTCACTCTTTATAGAATTAGTGTTACAATACCATTGTTCCAACTCACACAGTTTCAGCCCTACTGGACTCTTTGGGAAATCCTTTTCAGTTCGCATCCTGGGCACTGCTGAGGTGTCCTTCGAGGCGGCATGCCAAAAAGCATCAGAATTTGCATAATTCATAATTAAGCTTGCTGCACTATGTTTTACAATTTTAATTATGAGTCCCGCTTGGTCTACAGGTGCTCGAGGAGGGATCGGTGTTTGAGGGCGGAGGAGGCTTTCCGTTTCGCCACCGACATTGATCGCTGTGTGAAGGTCATCGCTCACCCCGACAGCATTGCTGTGTCAGCACATAGTGTCCCTGTGAGTCTGCTTATCATCCACCAATCTGTCACTCCACTCACAATGTTTATGAGCAATCACTGAGAGTAGCCTTGTCCAGCCACATGTATAGTAAGAAAATACTAGAAGCCAAGATTAGTTTTGTGAGAGGGTGTTTCTCCTTGTAGGACACCAACTGTATTTATTTTGGTTTGAACACATGCACTGTGGGATGAAGGATAAATGTGAGGGGAAAAAAAGAAAAAAAGGTGGGAGTTGTTTTTGTGGCAGTGAGCCGCTGCGTCTGCATCTGTGATTTATCCGCCAAAAGGTTGATTACATTTCCTAAAAGCTTAATTCAACTGTTTATTTTACAGTAGCCAGGAGCACAGAGGAGTGAAGTACAGTAGGAGTTGAGGATTATTTTAAGGGAATAGTTCAACATTTTGGGAAATACACATTCCTTCTTGCCGAGAGTAAGATGATTAATAGCACTTCTGTATCTGTCTCTTAAAAGTGCTGCTGGAGCCCACAGCTGGTTAGCTTAGCTTTACACAAAGAGGCAGCTAGCCTGACTCTGTCCAAACATAACAAACCCTGCCTAGCAGCACTTCTTCAGCTCACTAATTAACGTCTCATATCTTGTTGGTTTAATCCGTAGAAAAGCACAAGTGTAAAAACAACAGAATATGCTTTTACAAGCTAGTGTTGTGCCAGACTATTTCTAAGCCAGGAGCAGTAACTTCCTTGAATCAATTTTGTCGGTTTTACAATTTGGCCTTCGTAGGGATTATACAACAACAAGATTTAACTTGTTAATTAGTCACTTAAAGAGGTGCTGATAGGAAGAGTCTGTTGCCTTTGAAAAAAGCAAAAAGGTGAAAGAAAAAGCAGTATCTCTATGTTTATAGAACATTTCGAAAAAAGGGAGCTACTGTAAGATAAGCTAACCATCTCCTGGCTACAGCTTCATATTTAACAGACAGAAAAGATAAGAGCAGCAAGAAAACGAAAAAACTACTTTTCAACTAATAATTATACTTTAATGCCAAAGCCCTGCCACAGTATTCACTACGTTCAGAACATTACATTGTATCCCTCCCTTTTTCTTTTAGCTTCTGCTGGAGGTGAATAATGTTCCAGACCTTTCTGCTGGGATCACCTGTTCCTTCGGCGAGCAGGCTGGAGTGGAGGGTCATGTCAACGGCAACAGGGTTATGTGTCTATCCCCGGCTGGGAAGGAGGTCCCTCGGATACCAGAAGGACAAGGTGAGACAAACATTCACCCACTGAATTTGCATTTCATAAATGTATCCGGCCAATCAGGAAGAGCCTACCCGAATGCATGCGACAGCCTCACGCAACGTCCACACGGCGGAGTGCATTGAAGCTTGCCGGCGGGCGTGTCTGAAGCTCGACCAACAACCAATCACATGAATCTCCCGCCCCGGACACACAAGCACGCGGTTGATTGGCTAGAGCTTGTATTGGCATATGATTTGATTGGCTAACGCTTCCATCGAAGCTTCAAAAGTTGAACATTGCTCAACTTTTGAAGCGAGCAACGCGAGCAAAGCGAAGCGACGCTCCCACAATGCAGTTCAGCAAAGTGTGACGTCACCCCATTCAAAGTGAAAGGGCAGAAGCGTTGAAGCTTCAACGCACGCCGCCGTGTGGACGGGCCGTTACAGTATGCATATGTGAACATCCTCTTCAGGTAGCGGCATAGCTATCCTTGGTAGAGGGTTCCGCCTGTGCTTATAGAACTAGGGTTACAATATGTAACCATCATCATATGCCACATTCATCCAAAAAAATGGAAATGGACCACCTTGCATTTTTGTTTATCCTAAGAGTTTGATAAGTACCAAGGAGCAGTGGAATTTTCTCAGAGCATATACAGTAATCCTCCAATTGAAGTTTATGACTGAAGGTGTTCTCACGACAACAGCAATGTGCCCTTGCAGAGACGCAGACACCAGGTGGCTCTTTACAAAAGTGTGATAAAAGTATTAACATTTCTTCTCATTTTGACCTCCTTTTCTCGTTCCTTCACCCTTCCTTTTTTGTCTGTCTCTGTTCCTCTTTCACACTGTTGTCTCTCTCTCTCTCTGTCATTGACGCTTGCATATTATTAATTCCCTCTTTCGGCCTTTTCACTTATTATTCTCCCCCTCCCTCAGACTGGGCCGGCGTAGAGCTCCGTCTAAACTCAAAGGAGACGGGTCGAATGGTCGCCAGCACGGAGGTGAAGTTCTACAACTGCAGCACCCATCAAACGTGAGTCCAGCTGCCAGCCCCCCTCCCTCCTCCCCCCTCCACGCTCTGATTTGTTCAATAGATGGGAGAGCACGACTTAATTTAGGGCAATGATGTACTGATGCTCACAACTCCACTTAAGATCGGGCTGTTAGATAACCTCTCAGTTCAATTTATCTGTCAGGTTTCATTTAAATCAACATGATGCATTTGCCATGGCCTGTTTGTTTCGACTTTGCTTAAACTGGCAGTCAGTGGGCGGATTGCTTACAGCTTTAAATACAGATAACAACAGTGCAACCCAGTGATATTTATTTGTATTAAACCCAAAGCAGATATATTTTTTTTTAAGGGTTCTTTTTTGGGGCTTTTTCATTTATTGATAGTACAAATAGATAGGCTTCTTAAGGCTCTTTTCATGCAATATACCTTATACATATTCACAACTGTAGACGCACAGTGTGCTTTGCTGTAGGCCAGCAGTCCCAGAGGAGCCCTGAATAGATACGAAGTAGACTCACAGATCTCTTTCCTGACTTGATTTGGTCCCAAGTGGCCCTGCCAGAGTTTGTTTGTTTTAAGATATTAGATTTAGATTTTTAGCCTTGCTCCAGTGCCTTGAGGGCAAATAAAGTAATGTAAATTGTAGAGTACTTTATTTAAATGCTCTTCTGTTTTGTCTTGCCAATATAGGCTTCCTGACTGGGCCTTGACTTTGAGCCATTATGCTAATGTCAACTTTTTTTCATCCTAACTGTAAATGACAAGAGTGTTTCCATCTGAATAGTAATTCCATACACTGCTACAAAGGTGGTTCTTATTAGGATGAATGCCAATTAGCAGCATTTGTCAGCTCTAAAAGATGTCAGTGAATCAGCACTTTCAGAGTTCTCACAGCTTAACAAAGCTCCGGAAAGGCTAAATCATACAATGTTGAATTAATAACTTCAAAGACCTTATCATTAGATTTTCCCTTTTGTGTAATAGATGAGAGGGGAAGTCAAATGTCCTTACTTTCTTTAGGTGTTGCTGCCCTTTACTAACCTTTAACTGTGCTATAAATTATACCGAAAGATGAAGACTTAAAACTGAATACAGGAATAAGTTCACTCTAGAATGTAACACTTGATTGCATGGTGTTTTCATAGCCAAACCCTGGAAATTAGCCCACAGTGGACGCACATGCCACGTATTCAAAGCGCTCTTTGACTGCAACATGAATGCCCTAATATAACCATATTAAGCCATTAGAGCGAAACAGTCGGGAGCTCATCACATCCGCACCGCAAAAATACAGCCTCCATTAGCTACGGAGTGACCCTGTGAACTCCTGTGATTAATATTTCAAACCAAACACACTCCTTACCCAGCACCTCTTCCTCCACCTCCCCCACTACCACCATCACATCAGCAACACATCACACTCCATAATTAATTACCCAGTGTTTAAAGCTCTCTGCCAGTCCAGTTCTATTAATACCCGACCCCCCTAAACATATTACACACACACACACACACACACACACACACACACACACACACACACACACACACACACACACACACACACACACACACACACACACACACACACACACACACACACACACACACACACACACACACACACACACACACACACACACACACACACACACACACACACACACACACACACACACACTATGTCCATACTGGCCTTGGGCAGCTAATTAATATCAAAAATGTAATGGTGCTGCACTGCATTTATTGACATTTGTAGCTTGCTATGAGCTGCAGTATTGGAGTTCTGCTAGTGGTTTTTATAGTTTCCTCAGGGTTTCATTTTATTGCACGACCAAATTCAGGAGAACAGACTTTGAAAGTGCATAGATCTGTTTTCTGCACAGTGGTACACTTCTATTATACACAGCCAAGCCTGCGTTACCCCCCACAGGAAAATAGGACATGTTCAATTTTGAGCTCTCCAATTGCTTTGTTTGGTTTATCAACAGCTGTGCAGCACACATCTCTGTTCTCTCATCTTTTCATCTCCCAGTTCTACACCCAAAGTTGTATGGAAATGCAGCTCCCCGTCTGCTGAACGAGATGGATTAAATCCAGTCTAACAGGGTTGCTTCAGCTCAACTCTAATCCATAACTGACCGTTGGCTGCAGTTCACTGAATCAGAGCCAATGTGTTGTGTAATTCTACCAATCAACTATTCTGTTTTCCTTTTCATTCATGTTTTTGTTGATAATCCAGAATTGGATGGGTTAGATGTTCTGTTTTTATTGCAGTCAAAAATGTGAATATAAAGGACTATAAAAGGCAAGGGTTTGTTAAAAAAAACTTCAATGTATAATGTAATCTCAGTACAAGGGCAAGGTATTCCCAGTACATCTGTTTATGCAACACTGTTTCACTTTTACTTGTCATTGCTTAAAAGTGCTTCAATGACAGAAGCACTTGAATGGAGCTTTCCTGAAATGACTTCATAATAACGGTTATATATTGTCATCTATGAGAAAAAGACTACCATTCTTTGCTGTCTGCATAGGAAAATGGGACATCTGATCTTTCAAAAAAACACACTGGCATGATACATTCAACAGAAAGCTTAATCCTTCATCAGTCTCCCCTTTAAATCCTCTCACCCTGGAGAGGAAGATGTAGATCTGTGAAATAAAGAAGGATTGATTCTTCTTTTCATAATATGTTAATGCAGAGCAACTCCATAAACAAGAGGCATTATTTAAATGTTCCATGCCATGAAGTGATGCATTCATTTCCTCCTGCAGGTGTCTGTCCTGTGTGAACAGCACTTTTCGCTGTCACTGGTGTAAATATCGCAACCTGTGCACCCACGACCCCAGCAGCTGTTCCTTCCAGGAGGGCAGAGTCAACGCCTCAGGGGTAATGTACATTCCCGCTACAATCTCATTAGCTGATTAAAGTGTAGCTTTCAAGAGCAACATTAATCTATTGCTGTGTGACACTTTTACCTCAAACACACAATCCATTGATCGAGATGTAAAAGATAAAGCTCCAATAAAGAATCAAGCAGACAAAGAGTATACAGCTCTGCTAGCAGCTCTAGAGGCACAATGGGGATTTGAGCTCAATGCTAGCATCACATGCTAACCTCAAAACTCAAAAAACCTGACGTGATGATGGCGCTATGTGAAAAAGGGATCATCTTTAAAATAGTATTGACTTTACCATAGATGAACAAATATTAAATATGTCTTCTAACACGGTTTACTGTCGTGGGAAGTGTAATATGTGGCATATGAATGCAAATTATATTTGGATTAGCAATTTGTTTGCCCCATTAATCCCTGTGCTACATTAGTCCTTCATGTTTATATAACTGTGACATGTACTAATACAGATTACATAGTAGAGAGACAGACAGATGCACATATACAAAGCTAGTATATAATGGATACCTAAATAAGATATCATAATTTCTGAAGGGAAAACAAGTTATTAAATACTATTTATATATTATGCTTATTAGGCTTGGCAACATGGACATTGGACAACATAACCAAATGCATGTTTTCTTACAATGAAATGCGTTTGCTTTCTGCTTTCACAGGACTGCCCTCAGCTCCTTCACACCGGGGAGATTCTCCTTCCGGCCGGTGAGGTCCGACCCATCACCTTGAAGGCCCGGAACCTTCCCCAGCCGCAGTCGGGCCAGCGGGGCTACGAGTGCGTGGTGCATGTGCAGGGTGTCAGGCACCGTGTCACGGCGTTGCGCTTCAACAGCACCAGCGTGCAGTGCCAGAACAGCTCGGTATGACCTCAAACACTCCCAGTGGGAGACTCACAGCTGTCAAATGAGGCAGACAGCTTGGATGCTGTGTAGGCAAGGTACATAGGGTACATCAGTGAATGCCGCCTGAGGTGTTGAGCACACTGAGGAAAAAGTAGTGGAAAGGGAAAGCGAGATTGATAAGGTAAGGTGGAAAGCATTTGAGAGATAGGAGACTGACAGGAAAGGAAGAAACGAAAGAAGAAAAAGGAAAGGTTTGGTTTAAGCGTAAATAATTGAAAACCATTACTTCAATACCACCTTGTCTCTAAGGTAAATTGTCTGAGTAACATATAGGTGTTCACCAACCGGGAATGTGATGACTTTGACATATGGAAAGTCCCAGGTTTGGGATGAACACAGAGATTTTTGTTATTTCCATGCAGAGCATACCTTGCTCCTGTGTGACAATAAATGAAAAGGCCATTTTCCTCAGATGTGGATGATCAGCCACCCCAGCCAGGGTTTGCGTCCCCACATGTCAAAGAGGAGAGGAGCAGACAACCATGGCAGAAATGACAGATGGTTAAAAGCCTCGTCTCTCTTCTGCCCTTTCATCCCTCTCATTTTCCTCCACTCTGTCTTTCTCTGTATCATTTTTTTTTTACTCAAACCTCTCTCTCACTTTAACTTTCTCTTTGTCTGGATCCACTTACCGCACTCTCTCTCACTCTCTGTTTTTCTGCTTTTCAGTACATGTACGAGGGTGTGAAGATCAGTGACCTGGCAGTGGACCTCTCCATCGTATGGAACGGCAATTTCATCATCGACAATCCCGAGAAGATTAAAGGTGCCTCTGCAATCCATCACTGCCAGGCCAAAGAAGTGTAAAGCACTCAATCCACAGGGGATATATGGGTCATAGCGACCGCTCCGATGTTCCAAAAAGGCTTTGAGATAAAGTTCACAATAGCAAGGACTGTTATCAAAAAGCACCCAATCACTCGTGTGCCTGGAGGGGTGAAGGGTGAATCTTCATATTTGCTAGGTCTGGCTCTCACAGCTGCTCTTGTTTTCCTCTCCGTTAACATCCAAGAAAAGCTGTTTGTCAGTTGTCATTGTGGGCTGTGCATTAAATAAACCCACTTAGCCATGGATATACACGGAGATGGCCATGAATTTCAACAAGCCTCGTCATTACTTAGGGAAGTTACTTCATATGGGCATAAATATGAGCTGCTTACAGGAGAGGATGTAAGAGACAGACTTCAAAGAAGGAGGGATTAATTCGGCATATGTTTTCTGAGTACTTGGAAGAAGGAATTTCCTCAAATGTTCTATTAATTTATTTTTATTTAATTCTCAGGTTGCCAGTGGTTGAAACCAGTTATTTTTGGAGCTGAGTTTTGTCAACTTTTGGTTGATCAGTTTGATGAAGAGGACATATTATGCACATTTTTTCGGTTAATATTTATATTTTGTGCCTCTACTGTGACATGTTAATGTTCAAAAAGATCTTTATTTTTGTCATACTGCCTGTGCTGCAGCACCTCTTTTCACCCTCTGTCTGAAACCAGAGCCCAGTCTGCTCTGATTGGTTAGCTGGCCAGCTCTGTTGTGATTGGTCAACCGCTGTCCCGACACGTAGCCTCACGTACAATGTGTTGGAATGCTAGCGAGTGGTAGCGCGAGTGCTACATAGTGATGTCATTATGAACAAAGGAGTCCAATCAAGGCATTTCAGGCACGGGGGGGGGGGGGGGTGTGTTAATAGGGCCTCTTTAAATCAAATTATAACATGACTACCTTCTGGTGATCCCACTGAATAATCTATGGTTGACATTTGCATATACAACCTATTTATAGCAGGCATATTCTTCGGAAACATCAATATTGAAATGTGAAAAAAAGACTTGATGTTAAAACTGATCTTAACTGTCTTATGTGTTTTCCCACAGTGCATCTCTACAAGTGCAGCGCCCAGCGGGACAGCTGTGGCATGTGTCTGCGGGCGGATAGGAAGTTTCAGTGTGGCTGGTGTAGCGGCGAGGGCCGATGCACCATGAAGCAGCACTGTCCTCCCATCTCCCCCTACGCTAGCCGCTGGCTGGACCTTTCTGCCAGGAATGTCAAGTGTACCAACCCACGCATTACTGAGGTCAGTTGTTTGTTTAGTTTTTTTGGCTGTCGCCCAGTCAGTCACTCACTCAACCAGCCTCAAATACAATGTGCATTTCAAGTGTGGGATGTGAACGTCATCTTTTACTCAGAAAGTCGTTTTATTTAAAATAAGCAACTTCTGGGGTTGGTAGTCTTATAAACTTTTTTTAGTCATGCCAATTAAAACAACAGAGCAGCAATGTGACCTTTCGTTATACTTCAGAAGACTGGATTTCTTGAACTTAATATTTCATTTTTACTTAGTCTTGAACTTGGCTAACCAGATGAAAGCAATCATGACATTGCAAGAATTTGTTCGGAAACTTTGAAGTTTAAGATGTAGGGAAGGCAAAGTCTAGTTAAGTTTTTTTTTTTTTTTTTTTATAAAAAAGCCAATTTCACTGACTGAAGTAAAAGAAGTGTCTGACCAAGGTGAAGCAGGTTATTACAATGAATGAACATTCTTTATTTCACTCAGGCCAACTGAGTAGATTAGTGTTACCATCCTTCTTGTGACAGAAACAGCTGATTTGACCTCAGGTTAGGTTTAGTTTAGTTTTGTGATAATAGACAAGATTTCTATAGAGCAAATACCATGGTTTTGTTGCTACAGTACGCATATTTAGTGAAAGGCTAGTGAAATGTCCTTCGCGAAACTGCCTTTAAAAATCTAATGTCTAATGCTCAAGATAAAAAGGACATATCGTTTGAAGCCTGTTTCTTCAACCATGCATCTACTTTTACATGACATTACATTACATTGCATTTAGCTGACGCTTTTATCCAAAGCGACTTACAATAAGTGCATTCGACCAAGAAGATACAAACTTGAAGAAAACAGAATCATATAAGTACATCGGGTTTCATAGAGCCAAAACATTTCAAGTGCTACTCAACTGGCTTTAGATAAGCCAGTCCTTTATTAGTATATAAGTGCTTTGTTAGTAATTCTTTGTTAGTAATTGTATTGCTCGAAGTGGAGTCGAAAGCAATGAGTTTTCAGTCTGCGCCGGAAGATGTGTAAGCTTTCTGCTGTCCTGATTTCAATGGGGAGCTCATTCCACCATTTTGGAGCCAGGATAGCAAACCTGTACCACTTAGCAAACCTGTACCACTTAGTATCAGACAACAATATGGTGCTTGATTTATTGGTCAATCAACACAATGCAATTCTAAACAAGGCAAGCTCCAACTAAAAAGTTGAACTGCACCTCTTTGAATTCCACTCCTAGATACCACACATGAGGGGTTATGGCGCAGGGTCAGCCATTGTACAGCTCCCCTCAGGCAGTTTGTGGGGGTTCTGTGCGCTTGAGCAAGGCTATTCCTATTATTTTGGTAGAAAACACAAGATTTATCTTTGACCACCTTCAAATATCCCTTCCAAGTTCCTGTATAGCTATCTCACATTCTATCCCACGCCAGGCGAATACCTAAAGTGCTTGACAGCTAAACGGATTCAGTCTGTTTAGAGAGTGGTGATGGATCTTTTATGTCACAAACTCCTGTTCATTCTCTTGAATGAGGCACAGTGGGTCAGGCACAGAGATGCCAGGCTCTTCCACTTCAAAGAGCCGCGAGCCTTTGAAGTCCCCGTCACATTATTAGTGTTCCTGAAGGAGCTGCAGCAGAATGTATCAACTACCCAGTGGTGCTGGGTGGAGGGAGAGTTACTCCTGTTCTGCTCTGCAGGTCCGGAGGTTTCCTGCCATGGTGGTTAAGTTCACACTGTGAAAAGGGTTCCTCAAGGTTTTGCTATACAATGCATTATTCATTAAAGTTTGGTTTGAATTATGGTGGGTTTTAAGGCTTTTTGAATAAAACCCTTCAGAATGTGACTTACGGTAAATCTACTTAATGTTTACATAGAGTTTACACGGAAAGTGTGGGAAGACTCTGTGAAGAAGCTCAGTCATTCAGGTCATGTAGAAGTGCTAAGACAAAAGCAGCTGGACTTACTTTAGAATCCTGAAAGAATCTCAAAGAATAGAACATCTAAAAAAACAGCCCAGTTGCCTTTGACATAGCATTTCTACATTATGCTAATGTTTTAGCTGCCCTTTAAGGAAAATACAATTTGACATCAAGCGTTATTGTCCTAAAGTAGCTACGAATTTACATTTTGAGCAAGTACTAGTCACATTTCTGACCGCAGCTTATACAGAATTAGTGTTTCACCATAATTATATTCCTCTTGGGTTGGGAAAACCATTTAAACCGTGTGATTCTCAACTAAAACTGCAGCACATTACAATTAATAATCATTCTGGAGTTAAGCTCTCGTTATGGCACATCACTCTCCAATACTGGAAACTCTTGCATATAAATCTATACATGATATTGCCTTTAGACCCACGAAGAGGTATCATTCTATTATCACAGCCTCCGACACCTGAGGGCACTCATATTTTTAAGAACAAACACAGGACCCACCCTTGTTATTCGGCTTATAACTGATTTTTTCTTATTTTCGTATTCATTTATTCTTAACTTTTTATTCCTGTTTTATTCAGTCCTGCGTTGGTATATAGTGTTTTTTTTAATCACAAAGATAGTATTAATTTTATTTTTTATAAATTGTCTGTTGTGTGTTTGATTCGTGAAGCAATTTGAGATACCTTTTTGTATTTAAAGTGCTATATAAATAAAGTTTGATTTGATTGTGTTTAACTGAAAAAAAAATGTGTACAACAATTGTACTTGAATTGCAGGCTTAACCATTAGTTGACAAACCACAAACAAAAGGTGATATCTATCGCTGTATGTGAAATCCTGTCCTCATCACCACTTTCTTCTCCTTCCTATGTAGGTGAGCCCAGTGGCAGGCCCTGTGGAGGGGGGCACCCTGGTCACCATCCATGGCCTGAACCTGGGTCTGTCCTTCTCTGAGCTGGAGGGGAACGTTGAGGTGGCGGGGATGCAGTGCACCCCACAGGAGGAGGGATACATTACTGCAGAACAGTAAGAGAGACTCCTCCCCTCCCCTGCCCAGACACGCATGAAATCAAACTGTACTGTACACAGGCATACTGTACAGATGCAAACAGAAGCAAAAAAACACAATCTCTTGTCTATTGCACAATTTCTTCTCACAGTCAATAACAGAATCTGTGACAAGGCTTGAGCCCAGAGATGCCTCATCAGGTTGTATGATTGTGTGTGTGTGTGTGTGTGTGGGGGGGTGGGGGTGGGGGGGGGGGCTTTGCATTGCCGTGGTGCAGTCACAGCCAAAGGAAGAGACAGTCTTTGTGTCGTTGTCGTTATGAGGCTGTCGGCACAGCAGTAATTGAAATGCGCTGCATGTCGCTGACTGGAGGGACAATCTGTTAGCCATGTGTTTCTCTCACAGCCATGTAATGCGATTGGGCTCTGGCTGCAGGGACTTTATTTATATCCTTGTAAAAACAGGGGAAAAAAAGAAAAGGAAAAGAACATGCCAGCAGAAAATTGGAAAACTCTCGTGATGTATGAATAGAAGGGATGGGCAGGGAGGATTCATTGGATGCTCTTATTGTAAAAGGGGGAAAGCAGAGTTCCTTGCGCAGAGCAGTGCATTCGCAGGGCCATTCATTTGGCACGCACAGTGCTTTAAAACACGGCATTACAACTGTTACAACCATTAATTTCAGCATGGGGTCAGTTGCTATAATGACTTATTCATGGCACACTTTATCTTATTGACCTGACAGGAAATACTGATTTATTGAAGAAACCCCTATGTTGTCATGGCAACCGGAGGTAATGGTGGGTGGCAATCGTGCTGGAGATGGGGAGGGGTGCAGTTTATCATTTGAGTTATATTGCTGTTATAGGTTTCCCATTAGGAAGAAAGATGGCCCTCTATATTGACCCACAACTTCTATGAAAGTCTGCTTCAATCACACTGGCCAGCAGAGGCCATCTCCCCACTGTGCAGTTGATAACAAATGTGATACAGTGCAGTGATTCTGCAGTCTGGCGTGTGTTATTACTTGTATGCACAGTGATCTGTTGCACGCCTGTTGTTTTATGCACCTTCATTTGTGTATTTGTGTCTTGACAGGATTGTGTGTGAGATGGCTGCAGCTCCTAAAGGAAGTGCTCCAGGTCCAGTTAAGCTGTGCATTGGCGAATGCAGACCAGAACTACGCACGCAGTCCTCCCAGCTCTACTCCTTTGTGGTAATTCTGAATATGAAAAACATTTACTTTGTCAATTTGTGCCAAAGCAAACATCAAGTGTTTGCAATGAATTAGGCTGAACATGTGATTGCAGGTAGAAAGCCAGAAAAACGATTTAATTCATCCACTGCAATCATAAACTAGAGAGGGAGATAGAATAAGATAATTCATTTTTTCTGAGTACAAGAGATTGTGCATAAGAGCGTTCATCATCATTACGAAAGTATTTCTTATGGCTTGTTCACCTTCTGCACGATTTTCATTACATGGCTAATCAAAAGTATGATGTTTATTGCATTCAAGCCAAGACTGATTTGTGTTTGCTTTTGAAGGGCAACGGTATTATTAAAAACATTTTAAGTAGTGTTTATTACTGTGACCGACAAGTGCAAATGCGTTTCAACGGCCCAAAACATTTCCATTGGAAGAAACGTACTCAAGTTTCAAAAACAATGCAGATAAAAGAAACACAAATGTGCCAAAACATTATCAATGATATGATATCTTTTTTTTTAAAAGAAGCTCTTTTGTCTACTTAAAAAAAAAAAAGTTGTTAATTTGTAGCGTTTTCTTCAGTCAAAGCCAGTAGACGATTATAGAGACAGCCGTATTCTGTGTTTGATCTTTGGTGAATGAAACATAATTAATTGTGCTTCTCCATAGACCCCTTCAATGCTGGCTCTGACCCCAGGCAGAGGACCTGAATCTGGGGGCACCAAGGTCACCATTGTCGGGGAGAATCTGGGCGCTGGAAGCACTGTAACCGTGTACTTTGGGAATCAGACCTGCGAGCTGTACAGGTAAGTCTGATGATAACACAACTTCCTAATGTGATATTTAATCTTACAATCCTTTAGAGGGGCAATGAAAGTGCCTGCACACAGTATCAAAGCCTTCTTTAATCTCTACGAAACAGAGTAAAAGATCACTCTATTTAAAGAAGCGCACTTAAGATGCAATTAAGTGTTGGTGGGATACATGAAAAGTCTTGTCGGCGGTGGAGAGACCCACAGCAGTAGGTATTGTTCTCTATGTATTTATAGATATCTATTTAAAGTTCAAAATGCTCACATGGTAGGAGTCAGGAGGTTGAAGCGAGGGAGCCATTAGCTAGAGCACCCTCTAATTACGGTGTTCCATCCCTAATGTGTCTGTAAAGAGGAAGGGATGGGACTGGCTGTAATGAATCCTCTCTTCCTCGTGTTAATGTGCATGGTTTAAAACTGCGTGAAGTCAGGGGTATGCAACCGCAGTAATGAGTGGGCAGTCAAAATTGAAACGATGTGTAAACCGCTCTTTTGATGCTCCCCCCAGGAGGAGCATGTCGGAGATCGTGTGCTTCTCTTCACCGTCCGTGACGAGAGCCGGACCGGTGCGAGTCAGTTTGAGTGTGGACCGGGCCAACGTTCCTGGGAGTCTGGCCTTTGAGTACATAGAGGACCCCACAGTACAGCGCATTGAACCCCTGTGGAGCATCACCAGGTAACACAACGCATCATAGTACCGTGTATACACAGTAACCAGCCACATGTGGTCTTATTGCCTAAGAAAGTCCACGAATGTCCACAAAATGGTAACAGAGCACCTTCAGCAGTTCTACAGTGCTCTCGTATGCTTGGGGGTTTTGAGTATGGTGTTAGTTTAGATTAGAATATCGTGTAGTAGTTAATGTAAGAGGAAGTGATTTGATTTAGCAGATTGCAGCTTGCATGTTTGATGAAGCAGGCCCCTGGTTGAATGGAGGCTCTAACAGGGTGTGAATGGGAGCTGCTCTTCATATAGCATATTCTGTTTACAGTATTTGAAATGTAATAGCATATCATTCAAATGCTAAACAAACACTGTGCACAAGTTGCAAATCTATTTCTAGGAAGTATAACGTCAGTAGTACTGCGTGGCAAACATAGACAGAAGGATGACGCACATAGGCATTAGTAAATGGGCGTTGAGCAAATCTTTCTATTTATCCATCGCGTCTGTTTTCTAACATTACATTTATTATTTAGTAGGACTGTCTAAGACTAAAGACATTCTAACTAAGATTTCCCGATTTAATTGACAGATTTGTAAAACTACCTTTTTCCACAAAGAATGGAACAAAAACACGGCTTTAAATCTTGAGACATGCTCATACAGTTCTAGTAAACAAATAGAAAAACATTTAAAAAAATGACTAAGACAAAAAAGAAAAATCTTAGTCAACTGAGACCAAAACAACCAATTAGTCAGCTAATCGACGAGAGCATCCATATAATCTAGCAGTATAATTATATAGCAGTTTTTATTAAAAAATCAAAACATATGACAACCCCCTACTGCCTACACGCGGTGGCCTGCCAAGTGCAGATTATGACAGTGCCTAGCAATCTGTATGTTGCGCAGGTTTACAGCGAGATAAATCCAAAGAAATTAGATGTTGCGGTTGTCATGTATAACAAGGTTGTTTCACAATATCAAATCAGTGTTCGAAACAACATGACTAATGCAACAAAAATTACAATCCATGTTCAAAATATAACTTTTATTAAGCTGCATGTCATTTTAAATATTAATTCAGAGTTTGATGCTGCAAATATTACAAAGATAGTGAATTTGCTACATTCTATCAAATCTAAAACTGTCTTACCTGTATTCCGCATAATTAGAGAAACTTATTTTGGTCCGGGGTGGGATTACACAGCACTTCGTCCCTGCAGATTAGACTTCACAGAGCCACCCTGGCCCTCAGCCTGGTGAGAGGAGGAGCTTTGTGGAGCTGCAACCAAGAGCCCTCATCATGAATGTGCGGTCCCACTATGTGGCCCTACAAGCTTAGGTACCCTTTGAAGTGCAAGAAGAGAAGGATTGGCACTCCGATACCGGCCACTTTTTCTGAAGCCATTTTCTCCCCTCTCTTCCGTCATGTTTTTCCACCCTCTTTGTCTCTCCTTCTCTTACTTTCAAATTCCACACTAGTTTTCTAAGCTCACACTGCTGCACAGGTTATACCAAGATTAGAGAGTGTTGTTTGTTTTAATCACATCGAGCACAGATATGTAAACAAGCAGCACCTGTATTCATGCTATGCCAGCCTCACAGTCATGGATGAATATAAAACAGCAGCCAGCTGGTTTGCCGTTTGATCTGGCTCTCCTGCCCAATAACAAAGAGAGCGCTACCATGCCAGCTATAGCTCCTCACACCCGCATTAATGCAGTTTCTCTGGAAAATGTGGGGTGTGAAAGTTAAAAAGATTGCTCTCTCTGCGGCCATCACTCTCATTAAATTGTGGTTTGCATTCATATATATATTGGCTACCTGGAGCTCATACAGTATGTGCATGGGAGGCGTGTGGCGCAGTGGATAGAGCCTTTGTGTTGGGATCAGGGGGTCACAGGTTCAAACCCCACTGCAGTCAGCATGTCGTTGTGTCCCTGGGCAAGACACTTCACTCCAAATTGCTCCTGTGGGGATTGTCCACAGTAAGTTGCTTTGGATAAAAGCGTCTAACAAGTAACATGTAATGTGTTTGATCAGTAGTTCTTCTTGCTTATGAATAAACTCCTTCCTCTTCTCCAAACAGTGGACACACAACCCTGACAGTGACTGGAACAAACCTGGATGTGGTTCAGGAGCCGCGAGTCAGAGTCAAATATGGCGGCCATGAATCTGTCAATGTGAGTGAGACAACTGCTAATATACTGCACTCAACCTGCATGGTTTTGCTTACTCAAGCTGATGTAAATGTCAGAGTTAAAGTGTTCTTCAGTGATATATTGCTATAGCAACGAGGTAGATTTATGGTTGCGGTAAATGTACTACTTTTTGTCTTTACATACTTATCTGTCGTGGCATCTTCACAAATGATTTAAAGAGGCTGAATGTGGCCACACCCAGAGAGCTCACCTGACAAAGACAAGACGGAGAGACGTTGGGATGAAAGTTAATACGTATATTACATTTCATTAAAGGGGCCCTATAATGCTTATTTTCAGGTTTTATATTTGTATTTTGTGCTTCTACCGTGACATGGATCCATGCTTTAATGTTCAAAAGGTTCTTTATTTTTGTCATACTTCCTGTGCTGAGGCACCTCTTTTCACCCTCTGTATAACCTTTCCCTTATCCTATGACCTACAATGTGTTAGAGCACTAGCCAATAGAAGCGCACATGTTACATAGTGATGTCATTGTGTTACGGAGGTAAAAAAAAAAGCTGTCCAATGGAGGCGTTTCAGGCAGGGGGGGAGAGAGTGTGGGAGTGAACGTTAGCCTTTGCAGACCATTTACATGCACACAAACCTTTATAACGCACTACTGGAAAGGAAAAAAAAAAAAAAAAGCATTATAGGGCCCCCCGCAATTTTCCGATGGTAAAATAATGTTTGAACTGGTTTAGTTTTAAGGAGAAATGACTATATTCCTAAAGAAAAGCCTCCAGTCTCTGTACCAAACAGCCTGTAGGGTGGAGAGCAAATTAACCATCAACACCTTGAAATACTATTACAGAATCTAATAGGCTGTAGTTTGTCCTGGATGTGGATATAAAAATGAAGCCACCCATAAACAGAAGGGTTGGAGGGAGGTGGCATTTAGATCATTCCAAAATGAGTTTAAAAAAAAGCTGACATGAAAGTGCACCTCGGGTTTGGGAGGTGATTTATTGTGCTGACTCTGCTTGCCTGAGGAGCTAAGGCAGGTCCTTTCAAAGTGATTGATTGTTCCAAAGTGTTGAAGCCCCGGTGGCATAAGTCCAGTCACCTTTAGCCTCTATTTTTACACTTTGGACAAGTCAGGGAATTGCCCGAGGATCTGAGACTGCACATTGGCTGAAAAAGGGTCGAAACTTTTGGAAGGAACTTTTTTTTAGCTCGACCTTGAAATAGATCGATATGTTTCTAAAAATCAATTCTGAAGAGAAAACGCCAGAAATAGTGAAGTGATGCCAGAAATTGAGTGATAATAGTTTGCTTGTACCAGCTGTAGATTGATTTTTTAAAGGTAAATATGATATGAAAGTGTTACATCTTTATTGCTGCCACAATAATACAATCAAACACTAAATGTAATAAAGACACAAGTATAAGAAAACCAAGATGTGGCATATGAAAACTTAAAATATATTTTAGGAAGAGTTGTTTTTAAAAAGTGAGATGTTTTGTTTTTGAGGCATGCTCTGAGCTATAATGAAATGGCGCATTAATGATGCTAGTCAAGAATTAAAGCCAGTCAATTAAAACTGTGTTTTACAGTGTCCCTGGCAGCAAGGAGATCTGAAGGGATTAAAACTGACCCTTAACCCGCATCAGCTGCTAAAAGAGGGTCATTGCAAAATATAATGAGGGCAGTCTCTGCGTCGCGCATATCTCGAAAACATCATCGGAAATGCTTAAAAAAGTGTGTTGGATCACAAAAGCAGTTAATTGACTTGAAACAACTTTTAGTAATAGCTTAGATAAAAACTAAAGCTAGAAATTGTCCTGAAGCTAGGGGAATTTAACAATCTGCTAGATATTGAGAAGGATTTATAAGAATTGCAGAGGAAAACAGAAAGCTATTTGGTAGTAATTAAGTACCAAAGACTTAAAACAGTGGTGACAAAGACCTGTTTTAGGAATAAGCCCATTGAGGGAGCAAGGGATCATCTTCATATATAGTTTCTGCCAGATACTGGTATATAAAAACACATTTAATGGTCTCCTATTAACCTTTGACCCAGGTCTATGAATGCCTTTAGTGTCAGTACTATAGCATTAGCCGTAGCAAAGCAGAAGGTAAAAAACACACGAGCAGCAGGAGAACATATGGATGGGGTGAGTTTAATATGCAGAGAATACTGCAACAGCTCATGAATGACAATCAGACATATATATCCTTAATCTCATGTTATGTAGGTTAACACTACAGAGACTGCCAGTATGTGTATGTTGATGGATAAGTTGAATATGATTAAAAGGCTCCATAATATTCTCAACGTCTGCATGTTAAGAATGAGTACGAATATTAAATCAACCACACACTGTATGGGCATAGAATGAGACATCTGCTCAAATCTATTCAGAAAAGTGCTTTCTAAAGAAAATTCAAGGGCCTTATAATGAAAATGTATTCATTCAATAACTAGAAGATGTTTTAAATTTAGGATTTCCAACAAAATACCTTTCTAAGTGTTAAATAATTCTGCTGAAGAACTTTCAAATACTTCTTATAATTAACCTGTAAGCAGATGAATTATTTATGTTTCTTAATAATGTATGCAATGATTAATCATGCAGCAGACAACACAGTGCGTTTTAAATATGTGTATGAGGATATGTTTAGTCTGGTATTTACAATACTGCATGTCTGCTTCTGGGTAATTTACTGTGAGGTGTGTAATCTTGATTTGGTTTCCGCTCCAGGTGTGCAAAGTGCTGAACACAACCACCATCAGCTGCTTCGCCCCCTCTCTGAAGGCAGAGTACACTGCAGACCAGGAGACGATCAAACACGTGGACGAGTTCGGCTTCGTCTTCAACAACGTCCAAGCTCTGCTCACCTACAACAACACGAGCTTCGTCTACTACCCAAACCCGTACCTGGAGCCCCTCAGTCTGACCGGGGTCCTGGAGCAGAAACCTGGAGCTCCAATCATACTCAAAGTACGTCACAGCTGCTACTGCTTTTATGCTTTATTTTTATAATTTCCATGCAAGAGGGTATTCTGATGTCTATAACCATCTGCACTGACATAGGAATACATGTACATCTATTCATTTATTTGAATTGCTTTACTGCACACACTGTAAACACACCACACATCAGTTGACTACATTTCTCTGTTTTTCTGAAAAACGACATTTCTGAATATGCTCTCTGTGAACTCCAATGTGTGGCTAATTCTTGTAGTTTCTTGGAAAGATTTTTCTTGCCTTTCAGTTTTACACCATGTGTAATGGTCATTAGATATGTGTGCCATCATAAAACAGCGTATTTCGTTGCATATTGCATTAGTTATTTGCTTTTATTAGGTCAAATAATGTTGCTGATATCCTGCATATAATATGTGTATGATATTCTGCATATAATATATGTTGGCAGTGTAGATCGCACCTTAACTTCCTGCTATTCTCTCCAAGATGGTTGATTACAGTAATCATACTAATTACCCATATTTGCATATGCTATAGGAATTACATACAAAGCAAAGGATCACTGTGAAATTATGCTTCAAAACAGAACCCTTAGAAACAACGAGGAACATTTCAATAGGGTATATGTATTTAGTCCTACATTTGACCTTGCCATTGTTTGACATTCACTATTTGACTTCCTATTTTTTTTGTCTTAGGTATATTGTATGTTACACTGTTGAAAATGTTCATTGCAAACAACTATGGTGTAGACATTGAGCATATAACAATAAAGCCTTTGACACTTGGATTCTACATATATTTACTGTACTGTAGAAACATTCTCATAATGATCAAAACATTGTTTGAATAGTCCTATTAAATTACTATGTCATATTAGTTGTGTTGTCTAATTTTATGTTATTTTTGTGGATTTTTTCTACATGTCTCCTCTAACTGTGTTGCAGGGACGTAACCTGGTGCCGTCTGCTTCTGGTGGAGCCCGGCTGAATTACACGGTGCTGATTGGAGACACGCCCTGCACCCTCACTGTGACCGACACTCAGTTACTCTGCGAGCCACCCAACCTCACGGGGCAGCACAAAGTCCTGGTCAGTCTATAGAGCGTGTCCCTGTATTGTGGTTTTGTGAGCGTCTGATCGCCTGTCATTGAGGATATGGGTCACTGTTTGTACGTCACTGTGTTTGTGGGTCACTGACAGGCTTTCAGTTAGTCGCTGGCTTTCTGTCATTGTCTGTCACTCATGGTCTGGTGGGTTCCCAATTACATTACATTGCCCCGCAGAATTATTGACAGGCACTCCTGCAAATAATGAGAAAAAAGCTGTAAAAAAATAAAGCTGATGTGCCTGGAACTTTTAAAAAAGGTTTCCTTTCAAGGCGATTGTTCAGGAAAGTGGTCCATGTCTCTATTGTATGTGCCAATTCAATGCTTCAGCAACAATGTTTTGAATTCAGGCCAGCCTTTTCATTAGTGGTGTTCTTTGTTGCTTTAGGATTTTCAACACTGTTTTGAAATACCGTGCTTACGTATGCATTATTAATAATATTTTTCAGGTCCAAGTAGGAGGACTTCACATCTCTCCGGGAGAAGTTCACATCCGGTCCGACAGCCTTCTCACTCTTCCTGCCATCTTCAGCATCACAGCTGGAGGAGGGCTGCTCCTCATCATCGTCATTATCGTCCTGCTGGCCTACAGACGGAAATCACATGAGAACGATCTTACTCTGAAGCGCCTGCAGATGCAGATGGACAATCTGGAGTCCCGCGTGGCTCTGGAGTGCAAGGAAGGTGAGGGAAACTGATCCAAGAGATTCAACTCAGAAATCCAGAAAAAAAGAACTTCTACTTTCTAGTTGCATAATAGCACCATATGTCGAGAACTGTTGATGACTGTGTTTAACAAAATGATATATTTGTGTAAGATATAATACTTATTATATATACATTGTATATGTATATTGGCTCAATAATACTTGAATATTCATTAATGATAGCGTTAACCAGCAACTTTTTGGATATCTGTATTCTTAGTTGCAATAAGTTGACAATAAATGATCAAAATCTAAATGAAATATATGCTGTAAGATCATTATGAACAGTGCTAATTACTATTGGATTTATTGTGTAATGTGAAACTCTACATTGCCATGCTTCCTGAATTCAATACAAGCACTACTCGTCATACTTTGACTGTTTTACAACCATTTCAATCAGAAACAGTTGGGAATGAAAAATACTGTCTTAGGTTTGCTGTGATAAACAGATCAATGTTACAACATGTTGTTCGGCAAAATGTTTAAACCCTTACCTCTGTCATATGTAGCTTTTGCAGAGCTGCAGACAGACATCAACGAGTTAACCAGTGATCTGGACAGAGCCGGCATACCTTACCTCGACTATCGCACTTACGCCATGAGGGTTCTCTTCCCCGGCATCGATGATCACCCGGTGCTCAGAGAGCTGGAGGTAAGAGACCTCTGAAGCACGGCTGCTGCACTCGAGTCAACTTTCAACCATTGTTCTGACATCTTGACCTTACGGCTCTAGTATACTCCAAAATGAATTGATCTTGGCTTGTTGGCAAGTACTGTCAAACTGCTGTCGAACAAGCAGTGTCAGCAAATGTCAGTGTACTCACTGCGGTTGTAGTTTGGTTTGTTTATTGGCTACATCAGCTGGATTGTGGGCAGATCTTTGGGGTTTTCTACATCCCTTAGTCTCAGTCATGCACATATTTTGAGGCAAACTTATCTTGTTCACTTGGACTATTGCCTTTTAAAATTCAAATCTCCGATCAAAATATTCTTCTACACCTGTTCAGTAATGCTGGCATGTCATATTTCGCACTGGTCTAGTGTAGCGTTTGTTGTCTTTTCAAAGAACCCCTATAGATATCATCACATTTCATACTAAAAGTACCTGGTGTTAAAATGTTCTTCGACGCGGCCTCAGGGGTTTAGTTCTACTTATTTCGAAGAAACTCTAAACAACCAGCCATTTGCTTTTTCATTATTTGACCAATATTTCCCATGTGCTCAATGTCAAAATTAAGCTAGTGTTTCTAATTAGAGTTGCTTCAATCAAGCAGTTATGTTCACAATGGTTTCAAAATACGTTTTTTTTTTTTTTCAGGCCTGTCTGATTGCATTTTAAGCATCGTCCTATTCTTTTTCCTCCAAATAAATAAACGTGTCTTTTATTTGTTGCAGAAAATAAAGAATCGTTTGTGTTTTTGATTAAATTCTTGAGGGAATTTAAAACTATAAACCAGAAGTTTCTCTGTTGGGGGGGTTCTGCTCTTCAACGGTTCTGTTTTTCCTTTATGCCTTTAGATTGTTCGTGAGAATTCCTGTAGATATTTATTCGGTCTTCATGTTCCTCTGTCCACATTATGACTTCTCTCATCCTTCAGTGAGCATTATCTAATGAGCATGTGCTTCTTTGTGTGTGTGCAAAAATGCATGATGCGTGTAGGTGCCGGGGAGCGGACAGGCGAATGTGGAGAAAGCCTTGAAGCAGTTTGCTCAGCTGGTGAATAACAAGGTTTTCCTGCTGACATTCATCCGCACACTGGAGCTGCAGCGCTCCTTCTCCATGCGTGACCGTGGCTACGTTGCCTCGCTCATCATGACCGCTCTGCAGGGGCGGCTGGAGTACGCTACTGACATCCTCAAACACCTGCTCTCCGATCTCATAGAACGCAACCTGGAGAGCAAGAACCACCCCAAACTACTCCTCCGCAGGTAAACCAGAAGTACTACACTGCTGCTAAAAGTTGAGTTTCAAAAAGCTATTTATTGTAGCCTTTTGGAAAAGATAAATATTCATTATAATCATCAAAGGAGGAGTGAAGATATGTGACTTAGGAGGCTCAGTTTAGGCTTTCAGACAGCTTATTTGGAGTTGCTGAGAAAATTAAAGGAGCCCTATTATGTTCGTTTTCAGGTTCATATTTGTATTTTGTGTTTCTACTGGTCACATGTTTACATGCTGTAATGCGCAAAAAGGTCTTTATTATTCTCATACTGCCTGTGCTGCAGCACCTCTTTTCACCCTCTGTCTGAAACCAGACCCCAGTCTGCTCTGATTGGTTAGCTGGACGGCTCTGTTGTGATAAGTCAGCCCCTTAAAGATGTCCGCCCCTGAGGCTATCACGTACAATGTGTTGTAACGTTAGCCAATAGAAGCGTGAGTGTTACGTAGTGATGTCACTATGTTACAGAAGTCAACTAAGGACTACAGTACAATGGAGGCATTTCAGGCAGGGGGGGGGGGAGAGAAACTCCCTCTGGAGTGAACTTTGGGAATATAGCCTTTGTAGACCATTTACATGCATAAAAACCAATATAAACACACAAATACTACTTGCCTTTAATTGTTAAGCACATCTGTGTAATAAGTCATTTATATCTACAAGCATTCCTTGTAAATTTCAGGAACTTACAGTAAAAGCTATTTTTCCCTTACTTTCTCCATCCATATTTTCCAGTGTGGTCAGAGGATTTAACCTAGAGAGACCTTTTCTATCTCAAACCTGCCAGGTTCTGATCAACACTGCTTATCTTTCAGCATAGATAATACCTTTGTGCATTGTTCTTTCCAGCCCAGTTACGGCACTTCTGTTGGATGAGTAACTAGGCCAGTGAAGAAAAGCCAACCTCTGTTGAGCTTTGTTTTGTTCAGTGGCGTGAAACAGCCGTTAGGAGTCTGAGGAACAGGTGAAAGAGACAGGAGAGGTAAAGTGAGTGAGAGTGGGAGGGACTGGCAGAGGAAGAGAACCTAATGTGGACGAGAGAGTGCAGCGGTGGCATGGTCTATGTCAGTCTAAATTATCTTCTGCGTGCCACTCATGAAACATTCAGTTCTAGCTCACGTTTCTTCCCCCCCGTCACCTCTCCTGTCCTCCGTTCTCTCGCCTCTCCCCCTCTCCCCTTCACCTCTGGATATCTGCAGATTGTTTTCCTAGCTGAGACTGGCCTACTGAATGTTTCATGAGGTTTATTTTTTCCTTTCTTTCTTTCTTTTTTGAAAAAGAGGGCTTTCTAAATCTGAAGCAGACTCATTAAATAAAAGGATGGGTTCACATGGGAGCGGGTACAACAAGAACTTGTTAGCCCAAACATGCTGCTCTTGCGGAAACACCACAGTTTAATGGGATGCCGTTAACAGTCGAGTCAATGCAGGTTAGGCTTGAAATGCAGGTAAGGACCGAAAAAAAGAGTGGCAGACAGAAAGCAGGTTAGGTAAGGGAAACAGAGCGGTGTCTATAAAACTGCAGGAGTTGGATCAGATTCAGAAGAGCCTTTACAGCTTTCCCATCTGGGCTCGTGAAGTAGCTAAGTGCAGAGACAGCAAGGAAGAAAAGTAAAAGGGCTTGAAGTGGACATGTCATGACCCAAATACATTGTGCACCGGCGGCACTTAACTTACAGCAGACTGTATCAGAGTATGTGTCCTTTGAGACCGAGCGGCTGAGTAAGGATGGCATGTCTCTGTAAACTCTCCATGTCATGTTTTTTTGGTTCCAACAACGTCGGGCTCTTCTAACGTCTTAAATTATAAAAGAATAATCAGAGCACTGCCGCTCTCTATGGGACGCCTCTTGCTAACAAAAGAGTGTGCTTTCTTCTTGTCTTGCAGAACCGAGTCCGTGGCAGAGAAGATGCTGACAAATTGGTTTGCCTTCTTGCTACACAAATTTCTCAAGGTAAAATGAAATCTCTTTCACGCCTTATCGCTACAGGTGTCAATGTGATAGACTACGACATTGCTTTTTAAAATGACTAGCATCGATTTTAGAATTGACTGCTGTTTGCTGTCATTTTAACTGTGAGATATTGATGAGTGTTATGGACATTGTGGAGGGGTAATGGTTTCCTGCAGGGTCAAACTTTTGCAATTCACACGAGAGTAAAAAGCTCCATTTATCATGTTTGGTGTGCCATGCTCTAGATACTCAGTGTCATTGTCTGCGCTGATGAATACAGATCTCTCTCCTTTACTTCTTTCTCATGTCTTATATTTCTTGCTCCCACCTTTCCCTCTAATCCCTGGGTTCCCTTCCAAAACAAAGGAGTGTGCTGGCGAGCCTCTCTTCATGCTGTTCTGTGCCATCAAACAGCAAATGGAGAAGGGACCCATAGACTCCATCACTGGAGAGGCTCGCTATTCCCTCAGCGAGGACAAGCTCATCAGACAGCAGATTGAATACAAGACGCTGGTGAGTCATAACGACATTAGGGGAAAAAAATGCGGAAAATAATCAAATGGATTGTCTGTATTCATTTGTGAACATCCCTCGGAAAGAGCCTTGACAGATCCACAGAAATGTAGCATTTTGTGAATTCTTTGAATATTAGGAGCTTCAACAACATGGAGGGAGTGAACAAATAATCTGAAATACCCAGATTGCCATCATGTCAAGCTAAAGAAGATAACGAGAAAACAAGACCTTTAACATAGCTGTGACCCAAGCCCAGAGGAAGTGCGCCGGCTGTTTAAGCACATTTTCATTCAGAGGCAAAACTGTTTTTTTATCTGTAAATCAGAGTTTACTTAAAAGAAATCCTGAATAAATTACCCAGTACGAACACTTTTATAGCCCTTGTATTATTAGTGTAGGCCCCAAAGCTAAGCACATTAGTGGTACAGGTGATGTAACGTAATAGTAGCTATTCCCTGTCTAAATGTTATTGTTCTTTTGTATATATCTTTATGTAATTGTAATTTTGTTTCGCACAACATCTGTGGACCCCCCAGTAATAATCTTGTGACCCTCTTGGGGGTGCTGACCCCCAGGTTGAAAACCACTTATCTAGGATTTAAACTTTAGGTCAGTCTGTCTTCCCAAATAAGTGGAAAAGTAATTAAATAAAATAAAGATACATGCATTTAAACAGCTAACAGGGTTTTATCTAAACCGGGTAACAGGGGCGCTGCGCCCTCTTACTTTCGGCGTGCACCCTCATACCAAAATTATGATTTCTGTTAGGCAACAACTGTAAAATAACTCAAAAAATATGAAAATCGTATCAAATAGACCGTCAGACAGCATAGACAGCTTTGTTTTTACCGAGCTCCAACGTGGCGTTGTTGTTTGCGTCCACGGCGCTGTCTTGTATACGGGTGTCATGTTTTTGCGAGAATAGATATATCTTATATTCAAGATCAGCACCACAGTATTGCCCTCATACTATATTTTTCTAGAAAAACCCCTGTATAATATAATAAGGAATAATGAGTTTACAAAGTTCGTCACTGGTGTATGCTTTGCAATGAAGTGAAATGCAGTAGGGCCACCTGTATACACAACATGCCCCTACTTTTCCATTAAAATCAAGCCGGCTGGGTTCCTCCAGTAGCCCGTCAGAATAAGTTCCCCCTCAGGCTTTAGCTCCACAGCAGAGGCAGCCAGCGACAGGATGACACCTCTCTGATATCCATGTCGGAGAGTCTGAGAGGCTGTGTCTCATTACTTGTGTAATGCCCCTGCTGTAGCGGCACAGCCACATCCTGGAGGTGTGAAATTACATTTCTGGCCTCGATCCTCTCCACCAGGACAGTTTGGTGAGGAGTATGTAATGAAAGGACATTCCTAGCAAGTAACACCTTTCCCTCTGCCTTTTTCTCTTACCTTCCCTGCCCCCCCCCCTCTTTCTCGCTATCCCGGATCCCCAGACGCTGAGCTGTGTGAACCCAGACAATGAGAACAGCCCCGAAATCCCTGTCAAGGTGCTCAACTGTGACACCATTACCCAGGTAAAAGAGAAGATCCTGGATGCGGTGTACAAGAACATGCCGTGCTCACAGCGACCACGGGCTGCAGACATGGATCTGGGTGAGGCTGCAATCCTACTGTTGAAGACTAATTATATAAAGCTAATTGTTTTATATAGTGAGAAATAGAACATAGACTGAGGCTGGTGCCCCACGGGAACGCATACGGCAAAACGCATAGGATTAACGCAATCGCAAAAAAGCTTCCGTCCACACGCAATATACACCGGATAGTGTCTGTTCACACGAGACAGCTCCGTTTAGCTCCAACCACTGGAAAAAGCTGCAGTACATATGCCGAGCCTGTACGTGGCGCTTTAACTTCCTCCAGAAAAAGCAGTGAAGAAGCATGGTTGCCCTTCTGTTTATTCACCGTGGTGGGGGCCGAGGGAACCGGGCAGAGTTTTTCGCCGGTCAACGTGTGTAAAAGTTTAAATCTTCCGGACAAAATTATAAAAGTGCCGGTCAAAGGTCTTCTTTGTTATTTATTGAGCTTTAAAACAAATGAATAACGACTCTATATAATAATAAAATACACGGAGCCTGTCCTCTCTTCTGACAGCCTCAGTGTCTGTCTCATGCAGCAGCTGATCCAGTAATGAGTGACCCGGCCGACAGTAAAAAATAAACATATTTATAACTAGTTTAGGTAGTTTGAGAGGTAGGCTAATTAAAATAGCTAAGGGTGATGATCTGACTTGAAGTGTGTGTTTTGCTATTTGGCTATACGCAAGAGAAATATGCGGATACAACCCATTTTCGTTCCCGTGGGGCACCAGCCTGAAAATGTGCCATGGAACATGATATGTTGGAATGATGACAGGTGGGAAGAGTACGGCTTGTAGTGGGCTTGTCAGGGGAGTTATCACAGGTGCTGCACTGAAGACATTTGACATCAACAAAGGGCTCCAAATCAATTTCCGGAAGACAACTTCCTCCTACCTGTTTACAGCCCCAACCAGGGCAACGCTCAACAACACTGATGTTAAACCTTACTGACAGCTCACCTACACTTAGGCTTACGCCCACAACATGTCATCTAATTCTGAATGACTTGGCACAAATCCAGCTGACACGCACCTTCAAAGGTAGTGTCTGATTCTGCTTTGGGTTTGTAGTTTACACTTTAAAAAGGAGCTCTTATAGGTGAGGGATTTGGAGAGGATCCGTTTCTTCCTTGTTGCTTTGGGTAGCTTAAATCTCTGTGTCATTTGTGTTTTGTTTGCAAAATCACAATCAAGAAAGAAATGCACATTCAGCCGTCTTGCTACGGGTGACAGCTTGCTAAATTGCAAGAACAAACTAACAGCACAAAAGTTCACCTGCAGCGCACGGGAACTTTGCAAGACAAACGATGGACATTAGACAATCTGTCAGGCACTTAGGATACAAACATTCCCAAAATGACAAATGTCACACATTTACTATTGATTGCTTTTTCCTTCAGAGTGGCGGCAGGGCAGAACAGCGCGTGTGGTCCTGCAGGATGAGGACATCACCACCAAGATAGAGAGTGACTGGAAGAGACTCAACACACTCATGCACTACCAGGTCTGTCAATAATGTCAATACTCCACCATAAGAAAAGCATAATGAAGCTTGATGTGACTAGTGTGTGTTTTGTTGAGCAATGCCAAAAAGTAAGCCCTAAACCTTAAACCAATGGCTGCTTTTTAAGTTTTTAATTTATTATTAAAGTAAGAATCTCCTTGATTAAAAGATCAATTATTTTGTCTACAGCATGTCAGAAAAGACTTAAAAATGTCTATTTGCATTTCCCACAGCCAAAGGGGATATACATAGATTGCTTCTGCTGTCCAAATAACGGTCCAGAATCCAAAGATTTTCAATTTCAAAATATATAAAAACAGTAAATCAGAACCACTTCACATTTATTATGTCATGTTATGTAATGTTTTATGTAAGGCTTGCTAGTTTGAGAAGTGACTCATGATTTGAATGATGAATGATTTTCAAATTATGAAACATAGTTGCAGATGAATTTATTTCAGCTGTAACTAATGATGAACGACAGAGCTCGTTCACTCTTACAAAGCCTTTTTAAAAGCTGTGATTATCCAGTTGCTCAAGGGCATCACACTAGATATTGTTGATGAAGGACACAGCATTACTCATTCATATTCATATACCCTCCCCCCCCACCCCTGCCAACATTTTGTCAACCCCTTGGTCGCAAGCACGCTTAGTCAACCGAACATGCACTTGTGCTCCTGGGTCTCTCACAACATCTTTTTTTCAGCTCATAAATACAACTACACAGGTCACCAAACTCAGATGAGTCATCCTGCTCAGCTGTCAATCAAATGTCTGTCCTCACTATCACCTTTTGGCCAAATGTAACACTCGCACACAGTAAGCATTTCAAGGCAGCATACTTTTGTTTAAACAAAGAGATAAATAAAGACAAAGGAGAACTGCATTTTTCGGCACAAAAAAGCATGTTTTTGACAAGATTCTCTAGTATCTGTCAAGGAGAAAAACTATTTATCTCATTCATTCTTAACCATGGTGCCAGGTGTGGAAATATTTGTTATGTTGCTAAGCTGGATTTAGCAACATTTTACAGCTCATGCAGAACAGTAGTGTGAATTTAGTTCACGTGTCAGACAACCAAACCCAGCTACAGTATACAGTATTTACCTGGGACTACAGAAATGACAAAATGTAGGACCGACACTTACACTGAGCCTCGGCTGAGCAAGCTTTAATTAAAAACATCCACAGCCAGTGAACTCTATGCGAAATGACCCATAGATATTTTATAATTAAAAGGAGCCCTATTGTGCTAATTTTCAGGTTCATATTTGTATTTTGTGCCTCTACTGTGACATGTCTCCATGCTTTAATGTTCAAAAAGGGCTTTATTATTCTCATACTGCCTGTGCTGTAGCACCTTTTTTCACCCTCTGTCTGAAACCAGAGCCCAGTCTGCTCTGATTGGTTAGCTGGACGGCTCTGTTGTGATTGGCCATTCGCTTAGAGATTTCGAGAACCTTAGCCTATCACGTATCAGTGTGTTGGAGCCCTAGCCAATAGAAGCATCACTGTTACATATTGATGTCACTATGTTACAGATGGAAGCAAGGGAGTCAAATGGAAGTGTTTTAAGGCAGGGGGGGGGGGGGGGGGGGAGTGTGTAGGAGAGAAACTTTTACAGGAAAAGGAAACCCCAAAACGCATTGAAGGGCCCATCTAAGACAAAATCAGGACAACTATGCCCTCTTAGTCTAGAATCGATGTAAAATACACACAAGTAAAGGAAATAAATACGTGGTAGACACAGTTTTGATTCAATTTTTTGTTTAAGTTTGAAGTATAGTTAAGTGTTCTGGTTTTAAGTTTAAGCTAAGTACATTCTACAGTACGCATTTGTAATATGAATACGTTTAGTCCTACACTGTAGTTAAAGCTGATCAATGCTATACTTTCTGTATAGTGATGATAATGGAGCATATACAACTTTTGTTAAAGAATGTGTGAATTTACCTTAAGGACATTATGTATAGTCCAATTATATGTCTAGTGATTCAACTGCCGATGGACTATTCAAAAGCTTTTGAATTCAAGCCGCCATTGCTCTTGACCTACAGCTGCATTCCACTTATTCATAAAAATAATAGCCTTGTCTAACCTTTGTCTTGCAGGTGTCGGAGCGCTGCGTGGTGGCCTTGGTGCCCAAACAGATGTCTTCTTTCAATATTCCTTGCTCAGCCAGCTTCCCACGCAGCATCAGCAGATACGGTCAGTGCTGTTTCAAAAAACAAAACAAATACTTAATATTCATTCAGCTCACAGCAGTGTTGCTCCATCTGTTGCCGTCACTCATCAGTCTGTGGTAACGCACATTAGCAGATACTGTTTTGCAGCACATTAAACAAAAAGAAGTGCTATTTTCAAACATATTCATCCAGTCTTATCACTTTAGATCTATACAAACTACTGATCTACAATCAGAGAGACACATTTAAAGATACAACTAACACTTGTCTTTCACATGAGGTTTCAAATGTTTTCAAAAATACACAAAACAGCAAACATGATGACAACAAGAGCAGAAAGCACAAAGTGACAGAAAGTAAGGATCAGAGCCAGGATAGAAAACATGTCTTTAGTGAATGAGTGCACGTCTGCATCATTACTATGACAACCAATGAAAGAATGGCAGCAAATGATTACACAGTCTGAACACACAGACCCAACATGTTCACTTGCAGATCACAAAGAGACAATGCGCCTTCAATTCAGATCTGAAAGACAAATGTGCCTTTTCTTCTTTTATCAAACGAGATGTATTCTCTCTACAAACTACACCTAGAGCATTTTAGAATATATTTTTCTGATTATCTGACCATCTAGGTGTGGACGTTCCCTTCCGCTCCACGCCCACCAGCCCTGACAGCCCCCACTCCCGTGTGCCCATGCTGACCCCTGACATGGAGAGCGGGGTCAAGGTTTGGCACTTAGTCAAGAACCACGACCACGGGGACCAGAAAGAGGGCGAGCGCGGCAGCAAGATGGTGTCTGAGATCTACCTGACGAGGCTACTAGCTACAAAGGTACAATATGGCTAGTTTGTTAGCCGACTAATGGTGGAAGTTAATGCAGCTATTCCTATATGAACAAAGGATAAGATGACTATGGGTATTGTAATAGGTGTCGCTCACAGTTATGAATCCACAGAGATTCATCACCCCACGCTGATCTTTGATAAACCCTCTGTACGCTACCTGTAATATCTCAGTTAATGTTTTCTTTAGGATTTAATTGTTTCCATCCGACAGGTCGCTAACATGATGTTGGCAGTTCTGATTGAATTCCTCGTTTACGTCTCACAACTTAATACCTTTCGCAAAGTGCTGTTAGTTAATTAAAGTGAATTAATTAACATTTTGATTGCCTTAAAGTATGTGGCAATGGTTGGCGGCACGATGACTTGACCAACAGTCTTGAGTCTGAAGTGAAAATCACAATTTGCCACAACAGTCCAAAACCCAAAGATATGAAAATATTTCATTTACAAAGATATAAGCGCGGCACTAGGATGGTTTCAGAGATCTACCTGACACATGTGCAATATGTTACATACATTCTAGTAAAACGTATGCAGGAGATAAATGTATTTAATAATTAAATGTTCATTTTGAACATGTTTGATTACGCATTTCAATACGATATGACAAAATGAGAGGCAATTGATGTCACAGAGTTCAGTTAGATTTAGGAATTATTTTATACAATTTGTACCAATTTTTGTCATCTTCAGTTGCCTTTTCTATGCATTTGTAGCCTTTCCACTTGGATTGTATGTAGACACCACAAGCAGTCAGCACTAGGTCTCAACTCTATGTTCTATTTTCTATAGGGCACCTTGCAGAAGTTTGTGGACGACCTGTTTGAGACCCTGTTCAGCACTGTGTGTCGGGGCACCGCCCTGCCGCTCGCTATCAAATATATGTTTGACTTCCTGGACGAGCAGGCCGACAAGCACGGCATCCACGACACGGACGTCCGTCACACCTGGAAGAGCAACTGGTGAGAGGGAACCTTACTTAACTTCCACTGTAGAGACATCACGCTTGCTGGCAATATTTTCTATAGAACTTTTAATAAAAACAGGCAAAGCTTGGGGCCAAGTGAACAATTATTCAACCCTTAATGCCACCTTATCTTATTCTATGCTGCTCTTTGAAGAACTACCAACTTTTGTTCCCTTGCACAAACTAACTTTATAAAGGTCACAATTAAAAAGACGAAGACTAAAATGTTCCCGTCTCTTACTCCTTTGTACACTCTACTCTTTTATTTTCCACAGCTTGCCCCTGCGCTTCTGGGTTAACGTGATCAAGAATCCCCAGTTTGTGTTTGACATCCATAAGAGCAGCATCACGGACGCCTGTCTGTCGGTGGTGGCCCAGACCTTCATGGACTCATGCTCTACTTCTGAACACCGTCTGGGCAAAGACTCACCCTCCACCAAACTGCTCTACGCCAAGGACATACCGCATTACAAGAGCTGGGTAGAAAGGTGTGTATGTGTTTGCGCCCATGCAAAATCGAATGCCATTCTCAAGGATATAAAAGATTATTGAAATCCCCACTGAGAAGTGATTGCTTGTCCTCAAGTCTCAACAGGGTCAGTTCTGAATCAGGGCCTATATTTGCATAGGATAAGGTTTGTTTTGTTTAAGGTTGTTGTTAGTGTCAGGTTGAGACGTTATTTTAGGAGACAGAAGAGGCTTGTAATTCGAGATAGAGCCTCAGGACTCTTGACGAGATGATAATGATAGTTGTCTCTGTTATAACCTTGTCACTATGAGAGGTCGTGTCACTATTACGATGTTCTGTGTGTGGTTTGATAATGCCTAAATACTGGTATTGTATTTGTACTACGCCAAACATTGGTTGCTATTTATGTTCTTTTTTTGACAAGCCATACCAGGTTTTGTCAAAGTAATACATTTGCTGTCACTTTTTTATCATTTACCAAGTTTACATAATTACACAGTCATACGCAGGGCTGGGAGGTTTACTTTTTTTTTTTTAAAAGGCATTCCGGCACAATTACTAGTTATATGTAAAATAAAGGTAAATCAGCAACCTAATGCCTTGTGTCACTATTTAAAAGTAATGTAACCTGATTACTTGGTGTCACTTTTGGTGTACCTCAATATCAAATGCAATGCCCATAAATGAGATAAGAGATATAAATAAGATAACTTTTTATAAGGTGTATTATGTAAGACAAAATAAAAATGTAACCGTAGAAAAAAAGAAACCAAGATATCTTTTTATCAACAATGTGTCATCTTAAAGTATATGCTAGGCCTACAGTAGGGATGCATATCGTTGACTTTTTTACGATACCGCTACCACTGAACGATACCGATACTCGACCGATACATATCGTGATACTTTCATGGGAAAGTATCACGATCATCCCGCAATTACTCCCATGAAGCGCTTTATGATATAGTTAACATGTCAAATGAATATTAAAATTAATTGTGGGACTTCAACCTTTTAGTACTGAACAAACAATGAAAAACACGTTTGACAACAAGGGCTTGAAGACTGTACATTCCTGTACTCTGATTTTAGAAAATGTTTTGAGAGGTTGGATGTGTTGCCGCCTTTCCCAGAAATAAACTTCTTGCAGTGGTTACAGACCCCACCATTCAGACTGGCAGTGGTTACAGACCCCACCATTCAGACTGGCAGTGGTTACAGACCCCACCATTCAGACTGGCAGTGGTTACAGACCCCACCATTCAGACTGGCAGTCATATGCAGCCACACTTTAGATTTTCGTGGAGACATCGAGCTAATGAAAAAACGAAAGCTAACCGAAAGGCTCAGACGTTCGGGAGGAAGGTGAAGGGCATTGCTTGGCAATCAAGCCAATCACCGAAGTCGTTGCAAGATGCGCGATCTGATTGGCTGGCGTAAAAGTATCGAAAACCGGATCTGATTTCTGTACGGCATACCGTAGCCGCCAGTAACCGGTATTTCCGTAATACCGGGAACCGGTATGCACCCCTTGCCTACAGAGTAGTTTTCAGAAGCTGTTTTAGTTCAATACATTATTAAAAGCAATCAAAGTTTTTATGTTTAATAAATACGGTGTGGTCTATTGCATTAAAAGATCAAAAGGAACATTTTAAAAAATGGAAGAAAACCAAAAGGAAAATTCAGATAGTACAACTTAACAATATATTGATCTTGATGTTATTGTAACATTGTAATTCTGCTATAAATTCCCATTTTCAAAAAATGTACCAGAAATCCGATTAAGATTTTTATTTTTATCCTTTTTACGTTATCCTGTAACATGTTATCCATTACTCTCTGGTCTAAAGCCTGCTCATACAGGGCAACGGAGTCATGTCCTTAGTTGATGCAAGTAACACTTGGATTGGTTAATCAGATCTCCCTGCAATGCATTAGTATAGAAATGGCATTGCATAGAGCTATTATTGCAAATTGTGGCACAATTAATGATGCCGCTCTAATAGGGTTGGAAGTAACAGACTGAATGTGTAATCAAGTGAAAGCTTTCGTAAGTTAAGGCATATGTGTGTTTGTTTAGCAAAACAGAGTTCTGGTGTGGTTTGAAGTCACTGTGACTGAATGACTGAACCTATGAGTGATGCCTTTCCTTATTCCTGCCAACATGCCTGCCTTTAGATATTCTTTGAGCTCACACAGCAGTAGACTGAAACTAGGTGAGGAGAAAAGCTTTTATATGCATGCCCTTGACTCTGACTGTGTGTGTGTGTGTGTGTGTGTCTCCTCTCAGGTACTACGCTGACATCAACCGCCTGCCTGCCATCAGTGATCAGGATATGAATGCCTATCTGGCTGAACAGGCCCGCCTTCACTCCAGTGAGTTCAACATGCTCAGTGCCCTCCATGAGATCTACACTTACGTCAGCAAGTACAGCCAAGAGGTGAGGCCCAGTCAACACTCTGTATCATGGGGATGTGCTGGAGGGGTCCTGATGGTGTGGTTAGCCGACTGAAGTTGGAATATTTTTATGTTAAAGCAGCTATTCTTATAGCGGCACATAATAAGATGACTATGGGTGTTTTAAACAACAGTTATCATGAGACTCTGAATCTTGGTTAAACCCGTTATACGCTACCTGACTAGCACCAAACTGCAAGAAATTCCAAAATTCCTTAAAAATATTTTCCTGACGAATCAGAATCAGGTTTGTTGCCAAGTAAGTTTACACATACAAGGAGTTGGCTTGGTGTATAGTGGTGCAAACATAAACACAGTATGAGGAAATAAGTTGTAAGAGAATGATCATGAATTAGACAGATTAAAAAAAGAAAATATTTCAAAACTAGTTGACATTAAAAAATAATAAGAAATGTTTAATATAAATATACAATATCTAATAACTAAGTACAGTGAAAATATGGCAAAAGACAGTTTATAAGAGTTTAATTGGAGGGCTGTGCAGATTTAAAAATAGGTAGAGTTGTACAGAAATAAGCTAAATATTCAGAATGATAAACAGTGCTCATAGTATCAAAAGAACAAGATATTGTTCTCATGATGTATGGTGAGTTTATTGTGTCAATCTGCCAGGTCGCTATCTTGGTGTTCTCAGGTCCTTGTGCTTCCAGTTCATTGATAAACATTTCAATTGCCCTACAATGTTTGGCAATGTGTGGCAACATGATGACTCGATCTATTCTTGTTCAAAGTCTTGGCCTATAAAATGTCTGAAAGAGTGAAAATCACAATTTCCCGCAGTCCAAGGTGGCATCTTCAAATGTCATGTTCGGTCAGTTGAAAGCCCAAAAATCTAAGATATGAGGATATTTCCTCTACAAAGATACAACCTGGAAAAGCAGCTACTGCATGCATTTGAGCAGCTGGAACCGGTGAATGTTGGTTTTGCTTAGGTTTACACATATGCACCAACTTCTGATCAATCAAATGATAAATTCAAATTGACAATATATTAGGAACTAACAATCAAGTGCAGCCACATGTACAATACTATTAAGTGTGGAAGTTGTTGGAGTTGTAAGTCTGTTTTATCTGTATTTGCATATTTGTATGATTCCTATTTCTGAACAATAAGCCTCAGTTTCATAGTTTGTGCCCTTGTGTGTGTTTTTGTGTGCTTTAGATTATTGAGGCACTGGAGCAGGATGAACAGGCCCGGAAGCAGAAGCTGGCATACAAACTGGAGCAGATCATCGCAGCCATGTCTATAGAGAGCTGAGACACCTCCATACAGACAGACACACAAACACTACAACACATACTTTAACAGATGAGTATTAAACCCATCAGCAACACACGTGGTACTCTCATGCACACGTGAACACACACATACAATCACACCTAAGCACCTATACACACACACACTCAAATCCTGATGTACACTGTCATTGCAGACTCAATGGACCTACTGTATAAACAAACGAAAGAGATTAATACACGCATACAAATGTACATACACACTCCGCAACACACAGATCGCCCCAAAGCACGACTTTTGAATCCCATGTCATCGTTTTTTCAGAAGAAACTCCAGCAGGCAAACACCCAACTTCTAAAACGCTCCTATAGAGAGACACAAAGAGGATTTGGGCCATCACGGTTGCTGAATTTGCAGCCAATTATTTTCCGCTGGGTAATGGTTGTCTTTGTAGTCGGTGCTTATACTAAATGTGTGTGTGTGGCATGGCTGGAGCTCTGAAGAGAACAGCACTTAATAAAAGAATGACTCAACTTGAAAAGTCACTGGAGGAGCTCAACAAAGACAGGAGCCAATTTAATGGGATGGCACGTTTGGCGAGACAGGATTCAAAGTACTTTTTATATGTCAAAGATGAAGGACTTGTGTTCGCAGTACATATCACGGGCTTGGACTGACATCGCCGTTTGGAGCAGAGATGTGTAACTTTGTGTTGCTAAGCCTTTCCCTATTGCCTTTTAAAGGCTTACTAAAGAGAAAACTAAAGACTGTGATGCCATTACTTTTCATTTCCACACTTGAAGCTCCCTGTCCTTGTTTTTAAATGAAGATTTAATGAATCGCAACTCCGCCAGGGATTGAACAGTACACAATTTGGCATTGAAAAAGGTGAGGCTCTACAGCACTGCAAACCTTCAAATATGAAATATATGTAGATATATTTCCGGACCAAATCCCGGGGTTTTTGTGCCAAATATAATATGTCTCATGTTTCATTCATGTTAAATGCTCCCGTAGAAGTTATTAATAATACATGTCATTGTACGGAAAAGATCCCATTTAAGATAGGACATTTTGTACAGTGATGATCTATAGACCACCAATTCAGCCGTTCAAAGATAAGTGGAGACCAAATTGAACTGTAGCAGAAAGCATGATTAATGATGCTTTAAGTCTGATCAGGAATCAGATTAGCCAAGCCCTGGCCAACAGCGCCCCTCTCCCCCTCCCCTGTCTCATCAGTCATTGTTTACATTAAGCGCGATACTTGAAATTCACCGAGTGTACGAGATATTAAGAACACCTGCTGCTCCTGTGAAGTAATCCGATCAGATTAAGTTTGATGAAGGCTTTGATGCCTTATTGATCCTCCCAAAAAAATCTATTTTGAACATAACCTGGAAATCAAATCTAAGAAACTAGCTGGGAGGAGTTTTCTCCCTGGAGATATTTAAGCTGCAGGTGCCACAAAAGAGAGTGTAGCGGTATAAAGTAGGTGATTTTAATATTTTGTCCACAGAGTGGATATATGATTATTGATACATGTATTTGGATCAGCATATGGTCCTGTTGCTTCACAGCTCTTAACATCCTTCCATCTTTCAGCATAAAGTTCACCTGTTTTTATTTTTCCATATGTACATTTGACCTGATTGCTTGCTGTATCCTTGCTGCTGTATTTATAGAGTGCCATATCTTAAACTGCAAACGATTATCATGATGAAAAATCCAGTCTGAGGCATCGCGGTCATTCAGGTTTTTAGTTTTGATTGTTTGTATTTCACCCATTGCAATGCTGAAATATGAACTTATTTCTGTGCTTTAGACTGTTTCATCGCTCAATGTAAAAGTCACATGGACTGTCTATCAGTGTCTTTCCGGAGCGCTGCTCCTTTTACCATTTCAGTATCAGTGGGGTTAATGTACTCCCCACAGGACCTTTATTCATGCTAATCTAGAAGAGCAAGATACAATTATATAAATAATAAATACATTTCCTGTTAAGTGTTGAAATATGGCAGAACTCATCTGTTTCATGTGTGGTTTGATGATGATAATTTATAAATGTGTTGTGCAATAAACTGTCAGACATTTAAACTGTAATGTTTTTTAAACTATATATTGTTGTAAAAATATTGTACATAAAAAAACACTCCTATTTTGCAAGCAAAAGATTCACTTTGTACTGTTGTTATACATTAAATGCGCAGCTGATGAAAAGGATTTCCGCCTGGTTTCTTTTCTGGTGATGCGAAATTCGGAATAAAGCCCTTGTTGAATAAACTGTAAAGCTATTTGACCTTATAATACTACATTATACTAATACAATGAATGAATACAATGTCCTTGGCGTAGAGCAGTTTGGTGGAGAGATGATTGTCCAAAGCATCTTAAAGGAATACTATTCAGGAATACTGACTTTCTATGTTGTTTACTTCAGAGACAAAGGTCTGCTGTTGACGTCAGTTCCGAGCCAATCTGAACTCTGCCACACATTACTGGATAATCTATTCTTATTACGTTAGTGGACCACTAGCATGCTAATTTGACAGTTAAGCTATTATTGGCTTTCCTTGAAAGGGTTTTTCTTCAGCTTTTTCTTCAACATTAACATAATTGTTAGACACATACACAAACGGCATTAGCCATCCTCTGACATCACCACCCGCACGCTTTAATCCAGTTTTGTATCAATGAGGAATCCATTATCTAAGAAAATAGTAACCAACTGATGCTCCAACATTATTCATCATAAAAGAGTAAAGTTGTGAAGAGTTTTTCTTAAATAACTGACAGAATATTTTTGGTGCTTTGGTATGTTTTGGTGCTCAAAATGTAATATTTGAACATAAATTAACCACACATTTGGGGACATTATAGTTTATAATACAAATTGTATTTGTTATTGTGCTTTCTTTGCTTTCACCGGCCAAGGGACTGGGATATGATTTAGCTTAAAACCAACATTTGATACGGTCCAACAAAAATTGTGACATTTATGTTTAGAAGTGTCCACGAACCCTTCTAATTTAATAGATATATAAGAAACAATGTATTTTTATAGAAAATTACACACTTTTCATTTGGCAGAAATTGGGCGATGTGCTTCCAGGTTGGGATAACAGGTATGGTACACAACATGTACCAATGGAACAGTCAATTCATACCTTGTTTATAATAAAGTACAGATATTGGTATAATTAATTCCAGAAGTAACATTGTTTGTGGAAAATGTTTTTTGCAATCATACAAAGGAAAGCTGGTGTTTACAAATGCAGGAAAGGGTATATTTAAACATGCCTAGTCTGGCCAGAGTAGCACATTTGATATCAAAGAAGAGTTGAGCTTGTGAAACAACAAAGAAATATCCTGAAGGACATAAGCTTCCCTTTGAATTTTATGAAAGACAACAGCATGTGATGAGCAGCCCATGGATTGAAGACCGGTTTACACTGGCGTCATACTGTGACAGTATTTGGTGTGGCATGTGAGCAGCATATAGGGGCTCATGAGCACTTGCCATAAGGAGCGCGGGATTTATTATTCATGTTTAACCCTCGGGGCTGTGGGCAAGCAGAGCAGAGGGGGGAGGAGGGGAAGGACTGCATCTCTCCCAACATCCAACCCAAGCTTTACCTGTCAGATCCACGTGGGGGTGGTATCAATGTATCGGAGGGTCCTCTGTACACCTGCCAGGCTATAACCCCTCGTCTTTCCTCTATTCTCTCTTTGCTTGTCAGAGTGCCAATCAGCAGCCAGACATTCCCCCTCACTTGCTTCACACACGCAGAGGAGGATCATCAGGACTGAAACAGCGGAGCGAGCCGCGGGATATCGTCTTGATGGACACCGTGGTTGGATGGTGCCTCACAGGTTTATGGAGCTACTACAGCCATTAGAAAGCCATTATTCTCCTATCAACCCCTGACAGGTGTCACAATATCTCAATCACGCCTTCGCCAATGATTGATGTCACTACATTGTAACGTACAGTAAAATAACAGCGCAACACCCTTTTCTAATTTCTGTGAGATCGCTTGTAGAACTCATCCTCAGCTTCTCCTGCTGTACAGGATATTTCATTCAGTGGAAAATTGACCTTACACACAGACTGTAGATCTTGAAGAATAATTCAAACTGTGGCTCTTACTGTGGAGTGAATACTGAATGGAAAAAAGGCCTTGGATTTTCTATACACCTTCAAGAAGCCAACAGAGGCGCCTTTCAATTTCCTTCAGCTCACGGTAGCGAGTGGTTAAAGGAATATATGTAAATAGAAAAAGGGATGGACACAATAACAGGAATGCTCACGATATGTCTGTCACAAGGCGAGTGTTTAACAAGACAATTAACTATTAGTCAACTATTACTTGTTTAAGATTTCCAAAACTGAGCATTTGTTTGTATTTTTGTATTTTGGACAAAACTATCAGTTGAAGGCATCACAATAATTTGTAAGCCAAATTCTAAGTATTCCCTGGTTTCATACCCTACATTTTAGGACTGTATCCCTTCCTTTGTTATATATGTCCGTAAATGTAATGTCTGTGGGTTTAAGACTACTGGATTAGGGTGGCCGACAAGTGCAAACGCGCTACAAAAAAACGTCCATTGCGAGAATCCCGCTGCACTTTCAAAACAGATTTGCAAATAAAAAAACACTACTTTGACAAAGCACATAGAAATATCTTCAGCAACTTGACAACACATGCGCAGCATTTAGAAAACATGCACCAACTTCACAAACATGCGTCGCTTTTACTAAAATCACTGCCAACACAAAACCCTGTGAATAAAAAAGAAACACTGCAAGAAGCTCAAAACACGAGGGAAACGGGGACACTGAAACGTGAAGCCCACAGCTGGGACCGGAACGCTTGTTGACATTCTGGGATTATAATGTTGGCATACTGTCACTGTTGGCAGAGTGAGATTGTTTCATTATTGTAAGTGTTTTGTCAGTATATTTGAAATGAGGAGGTTAGCTAGCTATCGAGCTTATAGTAGACCTGCAATGAAATAGGAAGGAATACTGCGATCACATTGTAAAAATAAGCCAATAAAACGTACATTTTAGGTAGGTTATTGTGCTAGATTGCATTTTAACTGAACATACACATCTTTTTGTAAACAGTGGATGCTTTTCCTTGGTGGCTTTAAGCTGGGAAGAAATCCAGCATCCACTATCAGTAGGTCCAAATACAAATGTGTGGTACCTTTGTTTTTTTCTTTCCATAATGGACACTCCCATTACCGGACAATCAGGCTTCAAATTCCCTGAAGCACCTCTGGAACGCAGCCTCCAGGCGATGGAGGTCTGCAAGCATCAGTCTCCTGCTGCTTTAATTAAGTGCAGACTGCCTTATCAGAGCGCACACAATCAAGCAGGCTCCGATATGTTTGTTCTTGCCAAGGACAAAAGACAGCTGTCTAAACCAGGAAAGAAATCCCAGATGACTGTATAGAATACATCTCAAGGGACCACAGCTCAGCCTCTATCAGTAACAACTTGTTTCAGGATTTATTGGATGAGCTAAACCATGACGGCATTTTATTTCCCCAATTTGCTGTAGTAATTTCTCTTTTGTCCACTAGCAACGACACTTGCAGACTCTGGTCATAACTGCCTTCATTATTTACCACCCAAGTATAAAAGCTGAATTCTTTATATACACTCCGGTTGAAATGCTTCCAGTTCCACACAAATATACAGCATGAACAATAAATTAAGGATTTAATGATGTGCTGGTGAAGCTAATGTCCAGAAGGTTGATCCGCAACACTCCAGTCTAGTGGTGCCATCTACTGGCCAGAGTTATTATCACAGGCATGAAAGAGAGTTTTTATTTCTTTCACTGTTAATTCATCTGTTTGAGCACACACTGGGAGAGGGAGAAGGATCATGTGACAGGCCTTGAAAATGTGGTGCATGAAGAGGACAAAAAGTGTCTGTTTCCGCCTGAGGGTGGGTGTGGGTGTGTGTGTGTGTGTGTGTGTGTGTGCGTGTGTGTGTAACATCTGCAGAGCCATGTGGTCGTTGAGGTCATGACCTTTGTATACACAGGCTTTAGTCAAGACACAGACCTATTCTGAACCCACACTCTGCCCTTAGAATGTGAAGGACTAACACCGGGGTAGACCTTGACACCAATTTAGTTTTGAGAAGAAGTGACTTCATCTTCCTTTCTTTCCAATTTCTTTTGTCCTCTTCCCGCTCACTGGAGGGCAGAGACCTCGCTGCTCAGCCCACGGACGTAACGGTCAACATTGGCTAGTGTTTGAAATTAAATCCCCTCCCACTACTCCCCCTCCTCCGCCCCTCACTTACCCTCCTTCTCCAGCACTCCTGAAATCACTTCAAGACGGGCTCCCTCCTTTGTAGCCAATCGGTGAGCTTGGTGGGATTTATGGCACCCATTTTCAAAGCGCATTTAAAAGTGTATTCCAACTTGTATGTGTTTTATGAGATTGTGTAGGCTTGCGTATGTGTTTGTACACATAAATAAACCAACATTTAATTAAAAACACCCTCTCAGTAAGAGCTTTCATTAATTAATCTAGCAGTGCATGCCAATTTCTCTCCTCGTTTATTCACTAAATCAAAGCAGAACCATGAATCTCAATAGATATATATTTGTAATTATGAATGGGGGCAAAGAAATGGTCTTCACACAAAAGATCGTCACATTAGACAAGATGCCGTTTTACAACTTCCTGTCCTATGTCCTGCCTGGGGCTCGAATGGTCCGCTGCTGGTGAACTCTTGCTCTCAGACAGAATAAAAGCTAACACTGCGAAACGTATTGAACTATAAACAAAAGTCACTGTCTCTTATACTTACATGTATCAGTAAGGCTATACATTCTGTGAAAACTATCTAAAAGAAGTCCTTTGAGAATATGATCTATGGCATATTCTTCTAATTAGCTCTCTAGGTAGTGAGGAGGATCTGACTTTTAAAGCAGATTCGTCAGCCAAGCCTCAGCGATCATTGGGTGTCCAATTAGCTTAAACTTCCATGACCGCAAAAGAAGTCTTCATAGATAAAACACTTCTGACCTTTTGTCTAAAAGACATCCCAGAAGTAAAATATTACAGTAAGATTCAAGCTATGCTGTTACTTTCATCGGCAGAGTTTGGCTATCTTTACCTCATTATCAGAATCAGAACTGCTTTAGTCGTCCCACAGAGGGGACATTACGTTACAGCAATATATATATATATAGAGATTAAATGAAACACTTAAATAAAAGGCATGCATAATATTAAAATAAGAAAAGTTGTTTTCTGTTCATATTCACAGAAAACACAAGGTGTGCGTGCGTTTTTAAATACACTTTGACAGAAAGAAGAAGACAGCGAGTAATGGAGTTATAACAATTGTTTGGCAAGTGCTCAGGATTTTTGTGGTCTTAAAAGTATAGGGTGGTTCTAAAGGGGACTCCTTGTGAGAAAGTACAAGCACAACACTTTTTTAAATATGGAATGAGGTTTCCTTTATTCTCCTGAGACACTACTCCATACATTTTAGAAATCATTAAAAACACAATACGGTGAGCCTGCACGGAAATGTAAAGCACAATCCTCAAATCTGGTTGAAACGCATTTGCAAGCTAAACGAAAACACACACTGCTGTCAGAGATAATCTACAGCACCGGCAGATATATGATGATTGCAATGTACTGTTACTGAAGAAACACGGCTGCAGCTGAAAGAAAGAAAGAAATGGGGGCTATGTTTTTAAACTGCATAATCTTTAACAGATGTGCAGAACAGTCAATATACTATAAACAAATAAAGCCATATGAAGCAAAGGCCTATAGGCTTTGAATCACAGGATGCCAATAGTAGAAATTAATTCCAGATTTGCTTTCTGTAAGGTTGTTGGAGGAATGCTCGTGCTGTCTGTGTTGGTTTCCTGCTCTGTTACAAGCTATTCAGTGACACCTTATTTGAAACACGTCGTCACAGAGAAGACAGATTACCTTACCTCCGTCTTTTGTTTTCTGTGTATGATATGCGGTAAAGGGAATCTTACTGTACTTGTACACAACTATTCCCAGAGGTGGGTCTGAGTCATTGCAACAACAAGGTTCAATACCTTGTACTCAAGTCCAAAGTCATAGTTGACAAGTCCTTAACTTCGAGTTTCGAGTCCTAAACAAGTCATAATATGCTCTTTACCAATTTGACTGCCCGTTTTGAAGGTTTTTTGTTGTTCATGTAATCAAAATTATCTTTTTTCCGACTGTCATTCAGTAACTTTAGTTTGCCCTGTTTCTCTCCTGCAACGATATTGGATGCCATTGGATTGGTTTAAACGGCATGAATCGTGGAAATCAAGTGTCGATTTGCTGGGACTTGATGACGTGACTTTTGACCAGGATATTAATTGATTTTTGGGATCCTTTTTTATCTTTGAGCTTTGAAGAAGGTTTAAGTAAAGACACAATCCAAGTTGAGACCAAGTCTTTTTCATTTGGTCAAGATGAGTTTAAGGTAATTTAATTAATTAAAGGTGGGGTAGGTAATTTTGGAGAAACCAGCTCGAGTGCGCTAGAATTAGAAAATACTCAACCGGAAAAAATCTGCCACTTCTTTACAGAGCCCCTCCTCCAACACACACGAACGCGCACATGACCAATGAGGGCACGAGATAAGTTTGTGCACAGATGGAAGGCTGACAGGCAGGTAGGCCATCCAGTTATTTTAGCCGGGCCGGCTAAAATGATTGGTCGTGCTTTTTACAGTATTACGGCTTCCACAGATGACATTTTTTTATGGATTTTTTGTCAAAGCACTTAAGATATTCATTGCTATCGGGATGTTAAGAGCTTTCCATGGAATATAACAAAAAGTGTTTCTGAAATAAATGACATACCCCACCTTTAAGTCATGTGACCGGAATAAAAGTGTCTCTTTATTATTTTCTTCAACCACAATGACTGAAATATTCTAGAATGAAAATGCACAATGCCTTGAAATAAGTTATAAAATGTAAAGCAAATGAAAGCACTAGGGACCTTTCTAGAGTGAATTAACGAGAGGTACAAGGTGTTAGAAAGTAAAAATAAACTGCCAGGGTTTGTGTAAAAAATGTGCCTTACTGCCATTAGAGAGGAAGCTGTGAGTCACGAGGACTCAACTAGCCGAAATACTTAACCAGCCAACAGTCTAATGAATGTTTTACTGGGGTGACAAGAATACTGGTGTCCAGCTGTGGCTGCTGTAATGGGCCCGGCGCTGATCATTGAAGTTGGAGTTTTAGCGAAGCTCATCTCGAGTCACAGTGAGGGAGCAATTGCCCACCTCAACGCCCTGCTGTTTGAGCTGAATATTTGGTAGTTGTCTGGAAAGAAGGAAGGGGTCTTACAGGGAGGAAATGGGGTGATGTGGGGGAAGGATGGGGCCAAAACAGGGACAGGAGGAGTATGGGCATTGGGACTGGTATCAAATTACAAGAGCATTTCTAACAAGCATGTACGAAGTGGTCCAGTTTGCTTTTCTCGACTTGCTGTCGTTTCTACACTTTTTCTTTGTCTCGGAGGGTGTGGTGCTTCTTTTTTTTAACAAGTCATTTAGCATACCTTCGCCAGTGGTTCCAGATGTGTGATTTACAGAGAGTATGGGAACAGCTAGCAAAAAGAGCTAACAAAAGTGAAGCAAAGGTCCCCAAATTGCAGGGGGAGGAAGGGGGGCTCTCAGGACTCTGTTGACGTGTGAAAGGTTTAAACGGATCCTGTGGTGTCTTCACTACTGAGATGGCTGGTGTTGATTGATGGCCTGGCTGAGTGGTGGGGGCTTCGGAGCCAGTGAAATGGATTAGTACCATTAGCATAACAGTGGATCACACTTTTGTTTCCAGTATGAAATTCAGCTCCACAGTCTATCTCCATAAGCCTATTAGGGACCAGGGTGTCACCCTTTTGTCAGCGATCACCTTTCATTGTGTGGTGGATTACTGCTCCCATACAAATAGAGTGCACTGCTCAGGCAGACAATGTAACTCAGTGCTAAAAGATGGAGTAATCAGCAATCACCAAAACATATTCTCTACTTACATGTACTCTTAAAATGTTGGACTCAAGCCCTCGAGCCGCTTATTTAAGATATATATATGTATATAAGTGTAAACATTGATAGGTATTCAAAGAATGCTGGGCATAGTTTTTTTAAATACTCAACATCCCAACAGGACCCAGTTCTCCTCCCTCCCTCCATCCGCCTTCAGGGGTGGGGGCACAGAGGAAGGGTTAAAGTAACCAGTGGAAGACGGGGTGTAGGGCTGGGCCTCGGTAAGAGAGGAGAAGGGGGGGGCTATATAAAAACTGACAGAACACAAGTGGTGCTTTATTCACACTGTCCCGCTCTGGGTAAGAGGAAACCCCTAACTGCTCCAGCTCAACCAACTCAACCTTTTTCTCCCTCCCTTTTCGCTCACACCCTTCGGACGTGTGCACGCTTGGGACAAGAATGGCAGCATCATCCGTACAGAAAACAAACAGGCCACTCAAAATGTTGCCGTTTGCATTGCTTCTCATCGCCTCCTTCTTAAATGGTGAGTAGTAAAAACATGCTTCATGAATGAGGGTATACTTCTCTTGCCATCCTTAGGGAGGGGGGGGGGGGCCAGGAGGGGTGGGGTCGGGGGTGGAGGAGTGTTTGAATTGTCTTTGAGTTGAAACCAGGTTTTAACCCTACAACTCTTTTACTCTCTGGAATCTTTTTATGTGCTTAAAACAGATCTATAACTGGTATTCCTTTTTGAAACAGTTTTAAATATACCTCCTCCTTCAAGATGCAGTCAGAAAACATTACTTTGGAGAACCTTAGCAAACAAAGGGAATATTTTAGAGAGGTTTGAAATGTGTGGAGGCATTAAGTATGAAATTATGATAATAGATTTCCAGATCTCTATTCTGAAATTATACATTCACAAAATAGAGCCGTTTATCTCATGAATTTACTTTTTTTAATCTTTTATTATTCCGATTCAAACTATTTTTGAACCTATGGCGCTATGTTTGCTATTTCATTGAGCGGATTCCCACGATCTTGAAGGACTTTGAAAAATGTTTGTATATATATTTAGCTGTGGAACGCGAGATCAGTTGAAGTGTGCGTGAGAAAAGGGTGTGGAGTATGGTCGTTAATGTGCGTTTCGAATGTGGCCGTGCTGATATAGTGGGAGCTTTATTGAGGCATCAGGGACGACTGTGGCTGTTCAACTATGTATAGAGACATGCGGCTCACATGGCTGAGCTCTATATACAGCAAGAAGGGCTCATCTGGAATGGAACAACTCCATCCATCAGCTGTATTAAAACTATCAACAACTTCCTACTATCTCATCTTTCTTAACCAATCAGAAGGGTGGGACAACAATCTAATTCAGGTTTTGTTTCTGATATTGTAATTGTAAGATTTGCTTTTTTTTTCAAAGTGTAGGATATTTAGCCTTACTTGAGTTTTTTTTCAGTAGTTCAACGCAAGAACATTTCAAAAAACGTATACGAGAGTAAACCAAGACCATAAAACAAAGAGCACATTCTTTTTCAAATGTAAAACGTATTGCCTGTACTTGCTTAAGCATTACGATGTAGATATATACAGACTCCTGGCAGGCAAATAACTAGGAGATGTATCATGTGGTGAATACAAATATCTGTGAAACTTTTTAGACGGATGATTGTTCCATCCTTCAATAGCCATTGGACTTGGCTCGGGCCAAGTCCAATCAAAATAGACACAGAGAAAGACCAAGATGTCAAAAGAATTGCGCTGAGAACAAACTAAAGCTTTACTATCATCTGGAGTGCTCTGTGTTGTGGCTGGGAATGAACCCCGCGCTGAATAGCTTAATTCAAACCTCCTGTCTTGTTCATGGGATATAGTTTATGGGAATGAGATAATCAGCAATGAAAGACATCTGCATCGAAAAATTGCCTGGCCATAATTGTAACTTATAGTTTCTGAACCAGAGAAGAAAAAAGCTCTTTACAAACACTACAATGTTTAGCTTTTGAAAATAACCCCGGGTTGCTAAAACATAGCAATGTGTTACAGACCGCAGTTGGACCTTGTGCCTTTCATCAAGACAAATATACAGCAGATATTGGAGAGCAAAAACAAAAGGAGAACAGTAATGTTTAACTCTGTTTCAACTACAGGATAAACCACCTGTCTCCTCTCTGACAGAAATCCCTCTTGCAGTATTATTTTGTAAACCCAGGGGAGGGGAGCGGGGCCGAGTTACGCAAGTAGAGGAAAGATGGGCTTACTGTACAACTTTGCTGTGATGAAGTCAGAGCGGATTCACAGATGTTAGTGAGTGTAACCGTTACCCAGACAACGTGGAGGTGGGTTATTGTAACAGAGGCTAGATGATCAAAGACTCTGGGGGAAACCCTTTGTGAGAATGTTAGGGAGATTTCTTTTAGGAAAGCAGTAAAATGGTTAGGTGAAGCACTGAAGAGGGAGTTAAAGACTCCTTTGTTTTTGATCAGTTTGCAAAAATTACATTTCTAAAACTGCACTTAAACACAATTGTCATAATACAGTTTCAGCTCAGTCTGTGAAGTGGTTTTTAGGAGGCTCTGTAGTTAACAAACCCTGCCCAATTCCTCTGCCAACCCAAGAGCATGTAATTATGTAAATCATTGTTTGTGCTGTACCCATTGAATGGATGCACCAAAGAATCACAGAAACAATGTCAACAACAGACTGTTCTGTCCTCTCATGAAGAAAGTGGCACAGAGCGGGCCAAGTCAAATCCAAATGTCAAGTGAGTCAGTGGTGGCAAGTAGACGCCTGGACACACACCACACACACACATAAGATCCTAGTGTACTTGGGATAGTGTTTTTGATCCACGCCTAATAGGAGGAAAGCTGCTTTTCCACTTAACAGCTCTGTCTTTGATCTTGTTCCAGACTATTTACAATGTGTGTATTCTTATACAATAAGCGTTGACATGCAAAACAAGCTTCTTCATCAAACAACTAGGTGCCGTTATGTGCCAAGGGAACGCATACGGCAAAACGCATAGGATTAATGCAAACGCAATCGTCAAAAAGCTTCCGTCCACACGCAATATACACCGGATAGTGTCTGTTCACAAGAGACAGCTCCGTTTAGATCCAACCGCTGGAAAAGCTGCAGTACATATGCCGAACCTGTACGTGGCACTGTAACTTCCTCCACAAAAGCAGCAACTTCCTCCACAAAAGCAGCGAAGAAGAATGGTTGTCATGGCTGCACTTCTGTTTATTCTCCGCGGTGGGGGCCGAGGGAACCGGGCAGAGTTTTTCGCCGGTCAACGTGTGTTAAAGTTTAAATCTTCCGGACAAAATTATAAAAGTACCGGTCAAAGGTCTTCTCTTTGTTATTTATTGAGCTTTAAAACAAATGAATAACGACGATATAATGATATATAATCATAAAATACACGGAGCCTGTCTCTTTTTCCTCTCTTCTGACAGTGTCTGTCTCATGCAGCAGCTGATCCAGTAATGAGTGACCCGACAGTAAAAATAAACATTTATAACTAGTTTAGGTAGTTTGAGAGGTAATTAAAATAGCTAAGGGTGATGATCTGACTTGAAGTGTGTGTTTTGCTCCTCCCGCTGCATCACAGCGGGAGGAGCTGCGTGTCTCCATCCTGTCAGATTAGACTTCACTCGCGTTTATGTCCATATCGAGATAAAGATAAATAATCTGAATTCAGTGTGCAGTGCACTTTTGCGGGGGTGAGGCAGGTTTGTGGGGGGAGGCAGGGCTATTGCGTCATCATTATCACAAAATGATCGTATAGAGGCGATCACACGGAGCCGTTGGACCCCCCAGAGCGCTCCGTTCCCAGATCTATCCACCTTTGGACCCGTTGTCGTTTGCGGGGTCCGTTTCTATCGTTTCGGTACGGCGTCGTGTGGCAAAAAGGGCTATACGCAAGAGAAATATGCGGATACAACCCGTTTTCGTTCCCGTGGGGCTTGGGCCTTAATCAGGGAATCAGATACATGGAAGGGAAGTCAGAGCCTGAGTATCAGATGGCAACACGTCCTGTAAAAAAACTAAATGAAACTTGTGAGCGAACAAATGTGCACTCCAGTTTGGCGCCTTTCACTACCACCCCTAAATGTGTGTGCAAGTAAGTAAGGTATATTTCTTTGTAAGATATAGTATGCCTGAAAATCTCTCTGGACAAAATCAATGTTGAGCCTCTGAGCTATTGACGCCCAGATCTGCAACAGGATCCCTAACAGTCTACCTGCACACACTCAAACCAGACAGGCTCATTCAAGGTAATGCACGAGGCAGTGAAACTTTGTGGGGCAAATGTGACACGGTGTGTGTGTGTGTGTGTGTGTGTGTGTGTGTGTGTGTGTGTGTGTGTGTGTGTGTGTGTGTGTGTGTGTGTGTGTGTGTGTGTGTGTGTGTGTGTGTGTGTGTGTGTGTGTGTGTGTGTGTGTGTGTGTGTGTGTGTGTGTGTGTGTGTTAGGAGGAGGAGGGGGGGGTGATATAATGCTCCCAATTGAAAGCAGATGTCATGTTTCCTGATTGTGGTCCCTCAGAAACAGGCATCATGCTTTCGATAAGGGGGCTGCCGTGGCCTCAGGGTGGGGTGGGCTGAAAGCTGCAGCTGGGCAGCGTTGGCTGAAGTAAGTGCTGCTTCAACAGGCCTGATTGAAACCATGAGATCCAGTTGCTTTTCAGCCAAGAGGGAAGAATGGGCAGGGTTCTGCTATTAATCGCTGTGACAGGAACGACAGGGGAGGGGGGGGGTGCGCTGTGGGGGGGGTCAAAATAGTGGGGTCAGCGGTCTGTTGTTTCAAAGAGGATAGAGTTGCAGAGCATGTTTAACCCTGAGGGATGTAGCTCCAATGTCACATTCTTCAGCACGCTCTTACCTCGCAAATTTAGATTCTTCAAGATATGACTTCAGATATTTAAATCAGGAAAGTAATTTTATAAGGGAACAATCTAAATGGATGATGCTTTGAGGGAACCCCTTATTGGAAAAAAAATAGTTTTGTTATTTTATTTTTCAAAATATAAACATCTGATTAACTGCTGGAGCTTCGATTGAAAGAAAGTGAACCATATTAAGCTTTTTCTGTCCTTTCTTAGAGTAAGTTTTAACATTAAGAAGATAACATAGGACTATATTGCAGGATAATTATAAGAGGCCAGACAATCTCTAAATAAAACGGGTATTAAAGACTGATTATTTCACTTACTGTTTTGTCGCCACCCTCAGTTCTACTTTGAAAATCCATGTGGAGAGTGCTGGAGGGCTGGGGTGGGGGGGGGGGGGGGGGGGGGTGTGAGCTCTTGGATCAAATGTCTATCCAATAGATGCCAGAGTGACGTCAGGGAACCTCTGCAGAGGTGCTCTGACATTACAAAGTTGAGCCAGGTCCAGAGGCAGCAGCAGAAAGAAAATTACACTTAATGGCCGTTAAATTAGGAACCTTTCGCAATTTCTGAACATTCAATTCCCAGATAAGGTCCAATAAAAGGATTCAAATTATGTGCTGTTCATGCTGCCCCTTCCCA